GAGTCATTCTCATTGTATAATGTGTATTTTATGGTTGCCAGATCCTGCTTCCCAGCTTTTGACCATTAAAAGTAAGGAGGAAAATGATTTTGTCTCACGACATGTTGCTGAAAATCCTCTCGTCACCAGCCGCGTGTGCCTGGGTCTCAACACGGGTATCGCAAGTTCATTTACAGAGTTCATTTACAATTAGAATGTATCTTTATCTCAACACAAATTAGTGGTGCTTAGCAACTGAGCAGTGTTGGTTTCTACAAATCCTTGTTATATTATGGACTTGAAGCAATATTGTGAGGCACTAATGTTAATTCTGTAAAATTCTCAGCTGAAGATGCTGGATGGATGGATGGTAGTGCACTGGGCTTCTCTAATTGGGGACACTCTCAGCCTCAGTCCGGTTGTGCAGTTTTGGTGTCGATAAATGGAACATGGAGCAACGCCAGCTGCACTGAAAGCCGCTGCCGCGTCATCTGCAAAATGGCTGCCAGTGAGTGACTTGCACAGTTTCTCCTCAGACGTGCATAGTGTCGCTGTCATAAGAAAACCTTGTAACTCTATACAGTTTTTAAACCATATGAAAATGCTAGCTCTCATTGACATTGTGTGAACATTTGACCAACTGACCAATAAAATTTTTTGAAAAGTTATATTGACAAATATTAAAGGGCCCATATTGTACATTTTTCTTGTACTTTATTTTTATCCTCCCTAAAGTCCGTTCATAACATTCATGTGGGTTTGTATACCAAAAAAAAGTCAGAATTAATTTTGATATGACCAACCTCTCTTTACCCTTCAGAATTAAAAAGGATGTGCCTTTCAAGACTGATACGTGTAAATAAGCTCTGTTCTGATTTGCTAGTATTGCGCCTCATTAAAAAAAGTTCTGGGCTGAAATGCTCCTTATAGTTTAGCATGAATGGGTGGGGCTAAATTGCTATAGGGTGAATAGGCAGATATATGCAAATGTGTTGTTTTTTGTGACATCACAGGAACAGTGAATTCAAAAGAGGATGGTTTTTTAGCTTAATTTCCGTGTATGGACTGGAGAGTACTTGTTGAAATGTTAACAATGTTTACGTGCTACTTTAAACTCTTATCTCAAATAAAGTGATTTGGTTTTCTGTGATATGGGCCCTTTGAGTTAAGAATGTTTTCCTCTCCCTTAAAGTTACCCTCTTGCAGGTTTCCTTTCAACAGTGACAACAGAATTCATAGACTGTATAAAGACTGTATAAATCATTGCTTGTTGTCAAACCTCGTGATAAATTTTACTGACTGTTTTAATCTCTTCTGCTTCAGAATCCAGCGGTGCTCCTGTGGCCTTGGCTTTTTTCATCATCGTGATCCTCTGCCTCACCGCAGTGGTGGTCTTCATCATTTATAAGAAAAACAGGCACCGCTTCTTCTCCACCGTGCGCTACCACAGGAACTTCGATGAAGCAGACAGCACCAGTATAATTTCTGAGAACGAGTGAATGTTACACTGCAAGCGGCTGGCAAACAAAAGCAACAGCAGCAGGATTCTGTGCCTTTCGATGTAAGCACTCTAATATGATACAAGAACATCCAAACAAGTGTTCTAACAAAGGAGTTAATTTATTATTTCAGTATCTGCTCAGTCCGACAGTTTAAAAGGCTTTACGGGTTTTTGATTTTCTTATTAATATGCTGAAGGAATGCCAATGGTTTGAGATATGCCTAAACTTGGTGGTCTTATTTTTTATTTAAATTGTTTTAATGTTTTGGGTTTTTTGTATGTTTTAATGAGAAGACTTCCAAATATTGATTGTGCTGCAGTATTTACGGTATTTGTGTTGTTTCGGGTACTCTGAGGCAGCGCTGGATTTTTCTTTAGGCCTGACAGTGTTTTTGCTTCTCTCAAGCTAGCACTGATTAACTGTATAATCTTTTTTTTGGTTTGTTTTTTTCCAAACGCTAAACTGGGATCACTTCAATTCCTTTTGCGACTTTGGAGGTTTTTGTTTTCCATCTAAATATCTAATTACGATCTTGATGTTATTTGATTTGAATGTTCATTCGTCAAATACTGAATTCATGCACTTTCTGCATAACAAAATTTCAAACTACTGTGCAGCCTACTCAGACAGATACTTACTGTTTTTGCTGGATCTGTCTTTGTCACTGTTTACTTTTTCCTCGATTCATAACTCTTAACAAGAATCGATATATTTTTTTCAGATCCTAAAATTAGTGTTCAATTGCTCTTCTGAACCAAACTTTTGATTCATCACATTAGACAAACCTCCTACTACTGCTTATATACATGTACTCCATAAGTGATTAGGTCCCACTTCACTATGTGCATCTAAAGTACCATTAATTATCTAAACAAAAGCACAACATACATAACCAGATGTCCACATGGTACTCTGCAGGAATATTATACATTGTCACATTGAAAAAGTGGGATCTAACAGAGCGTTAATGTGAGCTGAGGAGACTTGCGCTGAAAATGAAGTTTACCTCTCATATTCTATGCACTCAAACTACTGATATGTAAAGCACTTTAAAGAGCTGTTTTCCCACTAACTGCTTTTGAACTATTTAAGCACAATGGGAGGGTGTTTTATGTTTTTGAGAAAATATGCAACTTAAAAGGCACTCCAACAGCACGGCACTGGGTGCTGTGTGTGTAATTTTTGTAAATATCTTTTATGCTTTCATGCTGTTGTGATTTTCCTTTTAGATAGATTTTAGATATATAAACCAAAGAGACTCCTGAAATAGTTTGATAGTAAACTATTCAGATTTTCTTTTCCCCTGATGAAAAAATGTAACCCAATAGAATATCTTTAGTTTGTCTTTGGTTTAACTTTGTATGGATCCAGTTTGTTTCTCCAAAAAGACACTGACCACCACTCAATAAAATGCTGTCACCATAATATGAAGTTTGTTTGTGTTCTGTTCTTGCATGAATGTCATTTAAAGAATGTGACGTCTTTAAAGGGGAATTCCACTTTTTTTTTTTTTGTTTTTTTTTAACACTTCTGTATAATTAAATCACTCATACGTCATTCAGAGTGGAGAAAATTACCAAGTCAGAATATTTTACATTGGTGGTAATGAGAAACAGCTGAAGAATTCAATGCCTGGAAGCTACTTACCAAAAATTTTAAATACATTGCCTGATGCCTAAACTATTGGTTTACGTTGGTTAGCCCCACTCACACACATTGAAGTTTATAAGGAGTGTTTCAGCCTGGGCTACTTTTAAAATGAGGCACAACGCATGACAGCCAATCATTACAGAGGCATTTACATATAAGTCTTAAAGGCACAGTACCAAACAGTTTAATTTTTAGGGATAGAAAGAAATGTCATGAAAAACGTCATGAAAAAAATAATTAGGGCCTTTTCAGCATGACATATAAAACTAAGAGAGCACTTGTTTTTTACTGCTCATTTTGGGCAGTGAATAATACCGGGTGGGTAAGTCTCTGCATCTTAAGGACTGAATTAACCACAAAGTTTGAAAAATAGGTGGAATTCCCCTTTTATTGCACGGTCCGATGAGTAACACACACACTAACGCTAGTTTAACCGCTAGGGGGCGAAAGTCTTCTACTCATTTGATAAAACATCCAGATTGTTGATTTCCCTTTAAGAGCGAGATTAAAACGGCCTCGTGGAGCTGGTCTTCTCCACCCTGTGAAAACTACTGCAAAGCATTTCAATGGAAAATTAACAGCATAACTGTTTAGTCCAGGACTATTTTCAGACTTAGAAAACTGTCCTTTGACTGTGCCAAGGGATTAAGTTGGGCTAAGTAGTATTATCAGCCCAATACTGATTCATCAATTACGCAACATAAAGATAGTAACATTTGGAAATAGTTCGAATTAAATCACTGAACTACTCATTAGATTTGTGGCTTGGAAATATTTCTGATAACATCCCTGCCGAAAAAAAAACATAGAAACCATTAAAAGTTTCTGTTGGTTCCTGGTGGTGTCCATAAGTGACTAATATTATTTCGAGTTGTCTTGATGAATTGATATCACAGTGTAAAGGATTCTAAGGGTTTAATAGGAGTTCTACTGATTCTAGACGCATTTGATGGTTTCCTAATGGGATCTAAAGGAAAGGTCCTACAGGAAATCAATAAAACATTAAGCAAATTCCCACTAGAAAGCCAAACTATCAGGTTTTAATCCTAATGGTTCTAGTTGTCTTTTTTATTTTTATTCTTAGCAGAGACACCTGATGCTGAATCTTGTGAGATAGTACCAATTCCTCTTTTTCCCCTATCAGATTTTGCCTCCCAAGACAGTGACAGAGAGCAAAGACAACTCCACATGACTTTTTCCCTGTAATCTGCGATACAGACCCGCCAGGCAGCGTGTCTTGTTTATCAATTTGTTATTTTTTCATATACCTTGTTCATAAATCGTCTGGCACTGCTGTACTGTAAGCGAGGATGTCAGGCCCTCTCTGTGTCTGAAACTTTTATCTCGTGTTAAAAATAGCCGTTGGCAACTGTTGCAGGAGGCTGGGTGAATCAAAGGAACCCTAAAAAGGACTTTACAACTGGAAGCACGAGTATTTTCCAGGAGATTACATTTTTATTAAAAAAGCAAAATATCTTAATATTTCCAGAAGCCCCCCTCTGTTTTTATTTAATGTTATTTTTTCTGATATCGTTGTGTAATTGTGATTAAAAGGCTGATAGGCAGTGACTCACTCTGTGACAGAAATGAGGAATATATGAGAAAAGTGTTTACCCTGAGAAACCTGGGCGAGACATCTTACATGTTACACATCAGCCTTCTCACCTTACTGTTAGCATTATCCACAAATCTTAAAATCCTGTTTTCACTGAATTTCCTGTCGGTTTCCACAAAAACCTAAACGTATGTTAATGTTCCCTCATCAGCCCAGCACTGATTCTGCTCATCCCTTGGCAAACTGAGCAAAATGAGTTTAAAAACTGAGGTAAATGCTATATATAGTCTTAAGGGTATCCATACATGGGATGGAAGAGGGAGAAGGCATTCCCTAAGTGAGGGCATTATTTTTGTGACCATCAGCAAGAGCCTTCCAAGTGCTCTCGGGCTGGTCTTCCAACGCTCAACGCTGTTCATTTCTCTTGGGGTAAGTCGCAGTTTATATTCATTATTCCGTCAACGTAACTGCTTAATAAAGCTCCCTCCACTTGTGTTCAGCCATTGGGCACTAGTTTTTGATACCTGTATCAAAGTACGACCTGTAAAAATGTAGAAATGTTCGGTTTTCTGTGGTGCAAACGTCCATGTTTGGTGTGAAAGACTTCATTTTTCTATTTGGACTGGATTAGCACTCCTGTTAGCACGTTTTTTCACCAGTCTGTGTGGAAAAGATGGCTAGCGTGCTTGGAAAATTGTTATCGCTCTCAAAACCTATTTTGTCCTTGTTTCAGGGTCTGTTCTGCTTAACTTTTTCATTTTAACGTTTTCTGTGAAGATAAAACTGTGTAAATCTACAAGAAACACTTTCTCCATGAATAGTCTAATCTATTTCTGGAATTCAGAGGTCAGGGATTCAAATGGCTCGCTTGCACTTTTCCTCACACCTCCGTTACTGTTTTTGTGCTACTGGGCCATTTCCCCTTGGGTGGGCTGTGCACACTTCAAAAAGATGGTTCTTCAAGGGTTCTTTAGTAAAGGCAGTTGTTCTGTTTAGAACCATGAGTTCTTTATAGAGCCATTTCAGGCTTATATGGTTCTTGGCATGGTGAAATGGTTCTTTAGATTGATGGAGAATGTGTTGTATATGGTTCTATATAGAACCTTTTTGAAAATGGTTCTAAAATAACACCAAAAAGGGTTCTTCCATTGTTACATGGTTGACATTGTAACTCACAGTATCTTATCTGTGCTATTATTGAGTGCTCTTGATAATATGGTATTATGTTTCATGAGTTCAATAGAAATCTATTGAAAGCTATTATCAACTCTTTGGTAATAAACATGTAATAACATTGGCATTACCCAAGACATTAGTGCTATCCAGATACCCAAGTTAACTGTGTTTCTCTTCAAATCAGTATCCATTAACTGTACATGTTAACTCTGTCAAATTGATCCATGATGTGACCTTTGGGTGTCTTTTTAAGTTTTCCCACCATGCCTACGAGGGCAATGCCGGTATATCAACAGACACAAAAACAAGTCAGCCAAGAATATCACAGCTCTAAACATGTTACCCAGCAAATCTCATCAAGGTACAGGACATTACCTGGGTGTGACTGAATGCTCTCAAGTGTGCCGATAGGCAGTGTGCCAACTTGGCAGATGTATTAGGAGGCCAGTGGGCCCAACCACGAACCTCCTGCAGCTCTGGCTTTCGCTAATGATGCTTCAGTTTATTGTCTATTAACTTGGCAAATGACAATAAGCTTGCAGGCTTTTGTTGAAAGAAAGGCCTTATATGCTTAATGCTTTTTAAAAAGCTCTTCAATACTCTTCAGCATTGTGATCTGAAGGGAAACCATTCGGTTGTGACACCAAATGCTCTTAAAGTCTGTCCTAGAAGCAAATGTTCATCTTTAAGGAACTGTATGCACAGGTAAACTGAGTACCCTGCTGAAAAAGCAGCGTGGGCCAACATGGATTCCATGCTGGTCTTAGCTGGTTTATGCTGGTATAGTACTAGTTTAGTGTGGCCAGCAACCAAAACACAACATATGCTGATTTTGATAGTGACCAGCATATTAATGTCCCTTGCTGCTCATCAGTACACCAATATCCAAAACACAACATATCCTGGTTTTGCTGGTGACCAGCCATGGTAGTCTATGCTGGTGTTTTTCTATCAGGGTAAACTAACACTGCAAAATGGCTGTCTGCTTAATAGTGTCTGTGTGGCCAGCTTTTTCAGGACTACCATGTAAGTAAATGTAAGACTGTCTATGAAATCCTTCCCAGCAACAAAGTAACAAAATAAATAAAGTTTTATGGGGAAAACAAAATAGGAGACATAATTTTGTTTACAGTTTTTCCCCCAATCGCCTTGGATCTTTCTTGCTTGCCCAAATCATAACTCAACAGATAATGTGCGACATACATGATGTTATTAAGGAACTGGTTTTGAATTTGGGTCGGTCTTTGCAAATTCTCAGTTGAAATAGTTTGTTATCAAAGCTTCAATAAGTTTCATGCTTAAGAATACTTGCTTCTCCTTTCATTGAATTTGTACTAACAGATACTAGAAAGTAGGTTGTAGACACATATCTAGCTAACTGATGGAAAATCTGTCCAGGGATTGGCATCATTATGTATTACAAAAAACACAATCAACTACTTCATAACGTCTCAGTTGAAATCCAGAGAAAAAAAGAGCTATCTTTCGGTAGAGCGGTGCTTCACTATCACATATTGGCCTCCAGTGATGGCTGCAATAAAAGCTGCTTTAAAGACAGTTTGCCTGCTTTTAGCTGCTCATATAGTGTGCTAATGCATGAAGATGCATCATGCATGCTTTTCTTCTGAATGGTTATTTGCCGTTGGGCAGGAAATCAAGCTCGGTGAAGTCAGTGAAGAAGGAGCAGGTCGAGGCCACTCAGGCTATGGCGGAACCAGCCTATAAGGTGCCAGCTTTCAGGGAGAGGTGAGACTCTGTGGGCTGACGTAGCCACTACCGTTCAGTGAGCTATTTTAAGATGTGTAAGAGTGTAAGGGAGTACCTGAGTCAGTATCCACATCTACTGTATGGTAAAAACGATAGCCCTTCTACACTGGAAGGTTTTGACTTTCAGTCACAGAATTGCTGCTTTGTATCTATCTGTTTATTAAATTGTTATGATTTCTTGAATGTGACTTTATGAATAGGTGGCAGCTACTTGTGGTAGGATTGATAAATTATTTTAACGTTGAATGTCACATAGCCTAAGTAATTTGAACAGATTTATGAATTGATACCGATAGTGAAAATAGGCTGTCATAGGCCTGTCACGATTGGGGAATATTAGCTGTCAATTAAGAAATGAATTGTCCTTAATTATCTTATTAAAGTATAAGCCTAAAGTGGCCAAAGTGGCTGATTAACTAGCTTACTTCCTAGCTGTCGATAGCTCCCAACTGATGACAGACACAGCTCCAGCTCAGAAAAACGAACACTAAAGGTGTTATTATTAACCATCAGTATTGAGGTCAGCTTAAATAACTGCGAGCAGGTGATTATTTAATAATTGTGACAGGCTTAGCTGTCACTCGTCTGGTGAGACGCTGATACATTTTCCTCCATCGTACCATTGTAAAGGATTTTTATTACTCTTTTCCTAATGGTTTGGAAGACCTGAATATATCCAAATGTCAGATCCAGCACCCACAATTCAGACCACCTGTGTGTTATGTAGGGAACCTGAAGGAATGCAGGAGTATCAGCGCATGGCTGCTCATTTTGGAAGAGACCTGAGTACCCTGCAGCAGGAGCTGCACAGGATGAGGGTGGCCACTCATGAACAAGTGGAGAATATTGAGATTACAAGAGAGGTGAATACCATGTTCTTCTTCCATTTTATAGCCTGCACTTGATCCTCCATAAAGAATTTCCTAGTCTACCCTCTCTACACCACACTATGTCTCTCCACACTTCACAATGAATTTAAATGATTCAGATTGGTTGCATATAAATAAACTATATTACATCAACACAATTCTTGCTAAAATACACTGAAAACAGCAAGTGTTACTCATATTTAGCCGATTTACACAATCGAATCACGTAAACTCAAAGCACTATTTTTTTAGTGTAGAAAATCTCTTTACTAAGAGAAAGATTTAATAACTTTATCAGAATAGCAGTTGATGACTAAACTGACTAAAATGTTTGAACCTCAAAAGCCATGTCAGTGAATATCTGTACATACTTCTTTTATGCTAATAGTGTTCATACTGCATAAGCTGCTTAACCCCCATTGTGCTGTCTCAGGTGAGGGAGAGGATGTCAGTGAGGAGGGAGTATCATACTGACACACCCAAAGTCCCAGAATTCCTGGTAGGTCTGAGGTCTCACACTGTGTGGGAGAAGACTCCAGTTAAACTCCTCTGCACTGTGTCTGGCGCCCCCATCCCCATCGTCAAATGGTTTGAGCTTGATTCAGTTACATCATCCTTTTTCAAACCTCATGTCATGATCTTAAGTTTCTTTTTAGTTGCAGTGCAGTTATATTGTGATGTCATATTGAAATTCCAAGTATAACTAGTTAATAATTAAATACTTTTTCAAGAATACTTTATACATTATTAAAAATGAATTATAGTGATACTCTATTAATATATATGCTCAGTAACCTATTCATGTGGTTCTTGTAATCTAAATATTTCTTTTATCCATTTGCAGGTATAAGAATAATGTTCCCATTGACCCTCTGAGTGCACCTGGAAAGTACAAAATTGAGAAAAAATATGGAGTACATGGTCTGATTATTAGCAGGTATGGAAGTTTAAGTAACAAAGTAACTCTGAAGTAACTTAAAATGCCCCCTTTTAACATCCTTAAATATTATGTTTATAAAATCCTTCTATTGACCAAAATTGTAAATAAGAAAATTTGTTTCCTGTTGACCAAAATGGCAAGTGGCAAGATTAAATTGCATGAAATAGTTCTCAACCCTTACTGCAACTCAACCATTACTGCAATTCACACCTGAAATAACTCAAATATTTTAATGCCCTTTGGCAACAACTTTGAGCGTTGTGTTCATAAACTCCTCCTATTGAGTAGAATTTCAGTAACCAAACTTTGACCTCACATTGGCAAATCCCAAAAATGAGATACAGATTAAATCACATGAAATTAATCTTAACAGTGCAACTTGTACCAAATAGCTGAACTAAGTCCCAGGTAACTTAAGCTCCTCCTGTTGATCAATATGGCAAATCCCCAAAATGATCTAAACAGATTAAAATCACATGAAATCATTCAGAGCTATTAGTGCTACTCACACCGAATGTCTAAAGTAGTCAAACCCTCCAGTATTTTTCATGGATGTTTTGTGACCACAGCACGTTGTGATTATGGCACTCACACAAAAAAATGTTGACATTAGATCAGTAAGCAGCCATAGTTTATAAAGTCATTTCTGCATTAGTCAGTGAGAGTGAATGGCGTCGTGGTGGCAGTGAGAGTTTCCTATTTGGTCTCAGAAAGGGCCTGCCCTCATCTCCAAGACGCCTCAGCTGTTCGTGCCGTACTGCTGAGCTCTGTGTCATTTGATGCTGGAATGCCTGCCATCTGAGTCCCACCAGCACTACCATTACAGTAGCAAGAGACTCCCACCATCCAGATCATTAACCATAAAGCTCTAAAAACAAATCAGAACTCATTCAGTTTCAAAGAGACTTTTTGGGTTCCTCTAAACCTTTTTGAAAGAGCAAGGGTAACTTGAAAGTGTAGGAAGAGCTGTCCAGTACATGAGGAACTGTTCGTTTTTGGTCTCAAACTGCTTGAGAGGCTTTAAAATAGTTCATGCAGGCTGAAGGTCACATTTCTTCCTTCTATTCTCACTCCCTGGCCTCTCCTTCAAGACCAGCACTGCATTTCTTAGATCTCTCTCCGAGTCCAATGTGCTCCAGCATTAAGAGATCATGTTCTGTACTGTGTTTTTCTCTTGCACCTAGGCAACATTCTGTTAACACTGTGGGACCTTACTGGAGAGGTGTAAGGATTATGGAAAATAATTTCTGTCACGTACTTTAATAATATTATTCTCTGCAAAGTGTTATGACAGAGATGACCTGCGTGCTCAAAGAAGAGAGTATACAGACAGATAATATATATATATATATATATATATATATATATATGTATATATATAATGCAGTCTGTTTTAGCCACTGTTTGGTCCAGTGTTTATCAGTGCTTATCAGAACACAAATCTGCTTCCAAAAATTTTGTTCTAGCAGGTGTTCATTACATTGCCAGTGATAAATTGAGTGATATCTAAAAAGAAGACCCATGAGGATATCTCTAAACTAACTTAGATGCAGTACCAGCATTGACCTGAATGAGTATACCATATGTTGCAGTACGTTTTTAAATAGAATGTTAACATTTTGATTATTCTCCAAACACATGAATATTTCGTTCAGCTTTATAGGATAGGTACAGTGAAAAACATGATGCATTCAATGTACTTGATTCCAATGTTTATATAATTTTCAGATTAATAAAATATATTACATCATCAGTTTTTTTCTTTCGGTTTACTTTTGGCAGTAATTGACCATTTGCAAAAGCTCAGGCTACCCAGTGTAACAAAAATAGTTGATGCATTAAGATTAATCTCACTTACACTGAGGTTTGCTTATATACAAAGTTGACGCTCATCTGTAGAGCGGTAAGGCCTAACGTTTCATTTAGTTAGGCCATAGAGGAACTTTTTTTCATACTGTTTTCATCCTTAAATGGCACTCAGTTTTTAGTTTGAGGCTTGCCGTAACATTTCTTTGTCGATCCTCTGTTTAATAGGGCGCAACATGTGTACAACACGTTTAGCAGCAGAAAGGAAGCAGACAGAGGAGTACATTTATATACTTTTTTTAATAAAAAAATAGATTGTCTCAGTCGTTCATAAGCAAAAAAAAAATTTTTTAGCCGCTGTGGGTTAAATCGGTAGATGAGCCACTGAGCTAACACTTCAGCATTAGATGGGGGCAGTCCTCATTCCTTGGCCTTCACTCATTGGCAATTTATCTGGTACATCTACTAATCACTTACTAAAACACCCAGTAGTTTGCTAGGCCAACGTGCAATTATTGTTGTACGGCATCAACTTTTTTTCAGTGTCAACTTTTAACATTCACGGTTCTACACGTGAGCATATGACGCTGCGATAATCTTGTGTCAGTTTTTGTTCCAGTTCTTCCTTAGCCCTAGTGCTGACAGACTAAAAAAGCTAGAAGCACTTAAAGGAGTACGTTTTAAATATTTATTATTCAAAAATAAACTGTCTTCACTCAGTGTTCAGTGCAGACATGTTTAATATGTTCGAAGAATGACTTTACACATGATTCTTTTACACATATGTGAGCACTGTCCAGTCTGACTGATTTATTAAGCTAATGAATGAAGCTAATGAACTTGTTAAAAAAACTGATCTTTTTAAAGTTTAGCTCACCTTAAAGCTATGATGAATGCTATGATTGGGGTCTTTAATCCAAAACTTACTGTTTAGCTTCAGGATTTAAATAAAAACAACTCCACCTTTCCTGATGCTCATATAGTTCATATAGATCATATAGATCGTACAGTGTGTCAGGCTTGATATGCTTCTCAGCAACACCTTTCCATCATTGCCTGACCTAATCATCCTGACTATAATTTACTTAACAGCATGTTCTCACTACGCACTTTTTCTTCACCTGATGGAGGACGTAGCATTTACAGACGATTAACTGAGAGGAATGTCAGACATAATTTTGCACATGGTCAGTTGTGTTGTTGTAATAATATCTTACCAATGTGGAAAAGATACATTTTAATTAAACATCAACATACTACTTTTTCAACTGTATAAAGCCCTGCTTTTGTCATAATGTGTGTGCTTTGTTAGTTAATTTAATAGGTATTTAATGTTTTGTTCTTTAGATGCTCAGTAGCAGATTCTGGTGTGTATAGTGCTGTGGCTACCAACCCTGAGGGAAAGGTCACCTCTAAAGCCACAGTGTGTGTGAGAAGTAAGTTTATGTCCTTTCCATCTTATTTATGTTGAGTCACTGTTTGTGATAACTTGGGTTGTTATTTCTTTCAGGACCAGCCGGAGCAGGAGAGAGCGCTCATCTGCCAGGCCAAGGTGAGAAAAGGGTGAAAGGCTCTGGGTAGGGCTCAGGTCTAAAGGACCTTACTTGAGATCATAGGCTTATGAAACCCTGTCTCAGTCACAGTGGCTTCATGAGCCCTGGAAACTATGTGGTGGTAACAGCTGATGCCAAGTTTTCTCTGTAGAGACAGTACGTTCTATTAAACACAAAAAGGCACATCATACACCATGTCTGTTTACCCTCACCAAATGTATTGCATTCTTGTCATTTATTAAGCTCATCATAATACAGTATGATTAAATGCATTGCTTCGATGGTAGAACTTTGGTTATGACACAGAGAAACACTGACTCTCTACTATTCAGTTTTATTTTTTCAGACATTGTCAGGAAGTACCTATACAGAAATCTAATAGTCCAGGCTCCTAATTAGCTAAAAGGTAATATTGGCAGGAAAAACTCCTCAGTAGTATGAAGAAGAAACTTGAGGAATAAAATGGTGGAATATAAGCTGTATTTGTATGTGCCTCCGTGTAGTGCCCTTGCTGAGTGGTATCCATCGTAGCAAGTTGGAGGTGACCCTCCTGGATAGGTTTGGAGTGACATTTGGCACTGAGGGCGAGTCATTGACCTTGGTTTCCACCATGGTTGTGGTGCCTGACCTTCCTAACCTGCCACCAGAGGCTTTGTGGTATAGAGATGGTAAGAGGCTAATTTTATGTGCTTGAATGTGTTGAACTTTCTATAACTTTCTATAATTGTCTTTGTTCTTTACATCCTGTAAGAGAAACAGTAGAACTCTAAATGTGTGTATGTGTATGCAGATACCCTGCTGAAGCCATCCAGATGGGTTGAGATGTCTGTTGGTGGTGGTGCTGCCAAGCTCACTTTTCCTCACCTAAATAAGGATGATGAGGGTCTGTACACCCTCCGCATCTGGACCAAGGATGGAACCACTGAGCACAGTGCTTACCTGTTTGTCAAAGGTTTGTTAAAGATGTCTAATTCATTATACTTGCCTTCTGGAGGCACAAATATAAATACTGTTCATTATGTTGAAGATGAATAAAGCAAAGACATAAGACATAAAATGTCATAATTGATTGTCAATTTGGACGTAGAAGTCACATTTTTTTGCTTTGATTTCCAAGCAACAGCATCAGCCATTCTATTTTGCATGTTTCAGATACAAGTCAGTCATTTTTCACTCATCCACTCATCCACAGTTTCCTATTTGCACATTGAGACATTTTAGGGAACTGAACTCAAAAGTACACATTTTGTATATCCCTAACCCCAATCCAGTTCCATAGTCTTATTCATGATATGCTGTATGATCTGTAGTGTCTCCATTAAGATAAAGTAAGCATTTGTGTGCACCATGTGTTCACCAGATGCTGCTCCCTCAGCGGTTGGGGCCCCTGGAGCTCCTATGGATGTCACAGTCTCTGATGTCAATAAGGATTACGTCCTGGTCTCCTGGAAACCTCCCAACACTACTAATGAACCTCTTATCACTGGTTACTTTGTGGACAGGTTAGCACGCTCTGACTAATCCAATGACCTTTAACTGCTGTCAAATCAAAATGCCAGTTGCCTATTGAACCAGCAGCTTTATACAATGCCAAGAGCTGCTTTAAGTACATATTGTAGCTGTCATAAAAAAAAACTTCTAACTCCATTTTTTCTCAGTTTTTCATTTTATATTTAGACCATTTCATGATGAATGGATTAATCCCAATGCTCCAAAATTACTTTGAACTGAATTAAATCTTGTTACAGTTGTATACATGAAAAGTAAGAACGTTTTTTCCTTCTGCTGTAAATTAACTGTTACAGAGATATAAGGTTTTCTTATGCTAATATACCGAATTTCCCATTAACCTCGCAAGGCGCAAGTCTGGAACTAAAGACTGGGTCCAGTGCAATGACTCTCCAGTTAAAGTGTGCAAACTCCCTGTGCATGGGCTTACCGAGGGGGCCTCCTACCACTTCCGGGTCCGGGCTGTGAACAGTGCAGGCATCAGCCTGCCCTCCAGAATGTCCACTGGAGTGACTGCTGCAGAGGTGGAAAGCGATGTGGAAGGTAGGGCTCAACAACACCTCTTTCATTTGATCCATCCTTAATTTATCCATCTCACTGCCTTTTTAGAGAAGGACTGAAACAAACGCATACTGAAAAAAACAAAAAAACAAAAAAAAATGCTGAGTGAACTCAGTATTAAGGCACATATATTAATGTATTATGATGCATTATTTTCTCAGCTGCTGCTTTTTTAGTCATTAAATATTAAGGCAATATGATGAGTTAAGATTTTAGCGTTTTCTCAGCAGCTGTTTTTTCATTTGTTTAACCAACGATTTGTATGTTTATTTAACATTAGGCTGTCAATAAAATCTAAATTTTTCAGAAAATTTTTCTTAGGCATTTAGCAGACGCTCTTATCCGGAACAGCTTCCAGTCCAATCATATTACAGGGGTAAGCTAATGCAGCATTAGGAGTCTTGCTCAGGGATGCTTATTGGTACAGCATGATGTGCTTGCCTGGGCAGGGAACTTGGACTCTGGGTGAAGGGCAGAGCTATTACCTGACGACAAAGTGACGTAATGTTTCCATCGTCATTTCTATTGAACACACACCTCAACAAGTATTAAGTAAATAAATTCTTTAAATCTTTAGCTTGTAGTTATTCGGGTGTAGTGGGTGACACTGTTGTGCTCCGCCCTGCAGACTGAGGTTTGCTACCCTGCTTGGGACAGAACAAAGAGCATTTGGGCAAAGCTTCTAATGCTGTGTTACATACCTCAGTAACATGATTAGGCTGTAAGTCATTATGGATGAACAGGCATATTTAAGCAATAGAACAAGTGATGGCGTATTGTATTGCGAATAACACACAACACTTTTTGTTTGAATTTTTTATTGCTTTTATATAACAGTTTTGCCAAGTAAAGAAAAAGTAAAGCAGAACAGCTCTAAATATTAATAATATATGTTTTCAATATTGGCAATTTCTTCTGCCAAAAAAGTAGATATATCACACCACAAATTGGAAACGTTGTCTTTGGGGCAATTCAACCATACGTCAAACTCTTTCTCTAAATAAAAAAGACAGTTATTTCCACATGATCTTTCTTAACATTGTATTTGTTAAAGTTTGATGAACAATTAACAACTGTGGCCAACCAAACAACAAAGGTATGATGAAAAAATGTCCTGTTATCATATATAACAATCAACCAAAGTGTATGGTCGGAACTACAGTGTTGTTCTCCTCACAATTCCAAACAGAATTGCTGATGTAGCAGCAGACAGGCAACACTCATGCATCCTAGTTAGACATGAGTTAGTTACATGGCTTAGATAAATACACAGAAAAATATTGTGTTTTATTATTTTGTGAGCTGTTTGTGATATGGAGTGGCATTATAATGATTTGAGAATATGTATTTCACACAAATCCATCACATCATATCCAGTACTTTTGTATGTGCATGCAGAAATAATAAATTGCACTCATATATAGTTATGATAACATTATGATAGTTATTTGTCTAGCCAGATTGATATATGGAAGTTACAGATTATCTTTATTGTTACAACAGTGATTAAAATCGAGGGGAAATATGATATTGTGGTTCGACAGGAGGAACTGCAAGGAGGTACTATATGCTATTGATGTCAACTAACTCATCCCCACAGACGAACTAATATCATATCTTTCTATCCTCTTCATCAGCCGGCCTGCATGTACATTAAAACACATGAATAACATTATGTAACACTCTTTTAAATTCATTAATTTAACACACATAATCTTTTCTGTATAGCATAAAGAACAGTCAGAACCTATTGCAACCATGCCGCAGGTCACTGCTGATCCATAGACCGCTATTTATTATAGCAAGACATATCTTCTTCGTTATGTTAATTTAACAGTACACTGATGAAATGCATACACATTGTTTCACTGAATCCACAGCCCTTCTATGAAACATACTAGAGGAACTATTTCTACCCACTCAACTCACTTATCAAAGAAGCATTTGAAGAAAAGATTTCTGCAAATACAGTTTGCAAAGTGTTATTTTTATCAGTAGGTCTTGGCTGGTCTAATGATTGTAACTTTCAGGACTTTAGTTTGTTTTTTTACAGCTAAACATCAGATTTTCTAACTAACAACAGTGTTCCCACTATGAAGACTACCAAGTCTTTGTTAATAGAAGGTGACCCTTTAGTTGACTCACTTCCTAAAACTTTAATCCTCATCATTAATGCTTTCCTAAAATTGTGTTACAGTGCAATCATATGGCTACCCATTTTTAAACAAGATTGTGGCAAGGTGAATGTTTGTTGATAGTTTCAGATATCATATTTTGTTTAAACTACTGATTCTTAAAATATGTCAACTTGCATGTTGGTCATGTATATTCACCAGTTATTTTGCTGTAACGTTTTATCTTTAGCTTCAGTCTTTGTAATCAAATGGTTTTGCTGTACGTCTGCTGTACAGCCATTTCCAATACAGAAGCCTAAAGCTTTCAGTTTAGTAGTAGTAGAAAATGTATTTATTTAGTAGTAATTCTTGCCAAATGTTCACCTTGTCTCATAGTAATGTACATATTGTAGAATAAAGATGTGTGTAAAATGAACTTGTATTTTTAAATAAATTCCTGATGTGTCCTTATGTAGTGTATGTTACATTGCTGGAGCCCCCAACTGAAGTGCATGCTTCAGAAATAAATCGAACATATGTCGTTTTGAGCTGGAAACCGCCCAGCCTCCGGGGACGGGCACCTCTGTGGTACCTCATCGAGAAGGTGTGTGGGGCTTATGTCTGTGCACTGGATATTTAACTTTTCATTCTATAACATTAGAAGAGTGAAGTACGTAATGCACATTCACTGGCCGCTATATTAGGTACACCTACACTAAGTGGCCAAAGGTATGTGGACACCTGACCGTCACCATCACCTATATGAGTTCTTTGACATTCCATTCTAATACCATGAGCATTAATATGGAGTTGGCCATACCTTTGCAGCTATATCAGCCTCCCCTCTTCTGGGAAGGCTTTCCACAAGATTTTGGAGCGAGTTTGTAGGAATTTATGCCTATTCAGTCCACTTGATAATAATCAAGGAATGATCTTAGGGTTTTGTGCAGCTGCTCAGCCATGGAAGCCCATTTCATGAAGCTCCCAACGCACAGTCCTAGTGCTGATGCTGCTTCCAGCGGCAGTTTATAACTCTTCTTGGCTGAGTTTTTGTTGTTCCAAGGCGCTTCTGTTTCACAATAATAGCACTTAGGATTGACCAGGGCAGATCTAGTAATGGAGAAATTTTGCAAGCTGACTTGTGGAAAAGGTAGCATGTTGTGACAGTGCCATGTTTAAGGCCACTGAGCTCTTCAGTACAACCCTTTCTACTACCACTGTGCTTTTTTTTTACATACCTGTTAGCAGCAGGTGTGGCTGAAACTCCTGAACTATAATTAGGAGGGGTGTCCACATACTTGTGGCCATGTATTGTACCTTTTATCTGCACTCATTGTGCACTTATCATATACCATGCCATCTACTTTGTATGCTAAAGTCCTCACCAGAGTCTGGGTTTTTGTAACTTTTTGTTTAATGGGGTTTGGTTCTGCAATGACTAAAGTGCACCAAACTATACATGGAGATGTTTATGGGTCAAAAATTTGCTGAGGATACAAGCATTTTGTCATCTTCACTAGTCTATTATTGTATAAAATCTATGTGTATCCCTCACATATAATCTTGAAATAAACATAATATCCTTCTCATTATGTTGCATGAAAATTGAGGATAAAAATAAACTGTACTTGATTTCTTTACTTTATGATTGCTTACATTGTCAGTTTGAATTTAAATTTAATTTTGATTGTGATACACAATGGTTAAGCATTAAGCATCTATATTTTCTATTTTTCTATTTTCACGATGGCAAATGTGAGATTAACAGAGACTTGTGTACTAAACTTTCTGACCAATAAGCACCCAGGTGTGTAATTAGCTGCACTTTAGCCAGTGCAGTGTGAAACCAAGAAAAGCTACAGTGTCATGAAAAAACAAACTCTGGTGTGGACTTCAGTGGACATCAGTTTCACTGCAGTGTGGAGACTTGCTCAGTGGTGGTCCTGTGGGGGTCCTGACCACTGAGGAATGGGGTAAAGTCTAACAAACTAAGCAGAAAAACAGACTGCAGTTTGTAGTTGTAGACCCATACAGTGCTCTTGTATGGTAAGTGGACCTGACAAAGGTGGCCAGTGAGTGTGTTTCATTGAACTAGAATCAAATAAAGAACTAACCAGTGTCACCTAAAAGATTATCATGTGATAGTAGGACCTGTAAGATACCACTTTTAACCCTTTGACAAGTAATGTGATCTTAATATTATGATGCTTTGAGGGAAATCAAAATGTTTGTCATTAAAAACACATTTGCAAATGCACTATATAGTTTGAATTTGAGTCTGAGTGAATCACCCTTTATCACATATTAATTGTAGCCAGTTTCACTAACCTAATCTGGAATAGAGTGTGGTTAAAGTGGTTTAGAGGGCTGAGAGTCTGCAAGAATAATCCTCCTTTTTCCTGACCTACTCTTCGCTCTGGCTGTCTCGGGCCTGCCTCTCAGTCAGAGGGCAACAGTAATTTGTGGCAGAGAGTCAACACAGGTGTGCAGATCCGTTCGCCCCGTTACACCATTTATGACCTGGACGGCAAGAAAGCATATCGTTTCCGCATTATCGCAGTCAACAAGTACGGCCCAAGCGAACCATCAGAGCCCTCAGATCTCATCCAGAAAGTGGATCCTTATGGTAAGCAGGTTTTGTACTGGTTATACTGAATATCGGGAATAACACTGCATTTTTCAAAATTTTCAGTTTTGACTAGTGTGTACTCTAGCGACATGGAAATGATGTAGAAATTTACTCATGATGTGAATGCAGAAAACCCAGCCATTTTAACTACTCTGAGATCCTAAGCAAACTCTTTTGTCCTGACGATGTTATGTACTAAAACTTCGAAAGCTTCTTTGATAAACATGTAACGTGCCATATTTTTCAGCCACTGTTCCAAGCATTGGTATGTATGGGTCATGAATGGATTACAATAACATCATCACTAAGATTTCCTCTTTGGTTGTGGAGAGGAAGAATGTCAGAGCACTAGAGCATTACTCACTCTACAGAGATAATTCTGAGACCACATAGCAATGTCACCTGTAATTAACTAATATGGTATTTTGTTGCCTGACAGACACATTAAGCATAAAATTCCTTTACCTTGTGAGGATGACAACAACACACAGATATTCATAGTCACAGTTTTTTCCTAAACCTCTATGGTCACCCCCTGAAAATGTTTGTCATTGACTGCACATCATTGCTTTTGCTTTAAAACCTGTTATTCAGCATGTCATGTACCATTATTCCTTTGGAGTAAAAGGTAAGTCATGCAAGAAAAAAAATACAAAGAAAAAAAAATCTTACCATCAAAGTAAAAATGTTTGATATTCTTTTGCTTTTGTGGAATTTGTATGTGTCCAGTTTTCTGCATGTAAATCTCCAAGTCCTAAAGAATGCTTTGCTTGTGTGCAGGAGTTCCCTCGGCTCCAGGCCAGGTGATAGCTTCCAGAAACACCAAAACCTCTGCATTTGTGCAGTGGGATTCCCCCAAAAACCCAAGCAACCTTATGGGCTACTATGTGGATTGCTGTGTTTTTGGCTCCAAAGTCTGGAGCCCCTGTAATCACAGACCCTATAAGCACACCAGGTAATATGATCATATATGTACAGATTTAGATTTATGTTATCAAGTCAAAGCTTTTTTTCACTGTAGCAGGCTCAGCTGGTTTTTAATGCTTGAAGGTTAAGGTGTCTCAGTGTCCAAAGAACTCAACATTAACCCTGCCTCTGTCTGGACAGGTTTGTGGTCCACGGCCTTGCTCCTGGTGAAACGTATATTTTCCGTGTCCAGGCAGTGAATGCCTATGGCCTGAGTGAGGAGTCTCAGGAGTCTGCTCCCCTCTTCATTGATGCTGCTCTCAGTAAGTAAACAAACTTAGGTTGAAAGATGTTTAGTCCTTTTTTTAGGAGTTTCAAGTTCAGCACATAAAGTCCTTGGTAATTATTTAATTCAAGTAATTATTTAATTTAGTTGAATGAGATGTGTTAAATGAGGATGGCTGCTAAAATCCATAGTGTTCCTGGTCATACCTGCTTTTTGAGCTGGTCATGCTTGATTGGAAAATGTTTTTCAAACAGATGTTTGGAGAAGCTGCTATTACAGTTACAACAAAGGTAAAACAAAGGTTTCAGTGAGGTTGCGTAACAAAACTACCAATTTTTCACACACAGAGCAACAGTGTCCTTGTTAATCTGAGTTATGGGGGAAAATTTTTTATACAATCTTCCATCCTTCCATCCATCATCTAAACCGCTTATCCGGTCGCGGTTTATACGATCATATTAAGTCAAAATATCACTAGGGGGCCTGCAGAAAAGGGGTTAAAATAACCTTTTTTGTATCAGTATTTGAGTGATGTGTAGTGCCAACATGATCAATATTGACCCTTGTTTCAACATTATTCCAGATGGGCTGATATAAGGGTAGGCAGAATGAAAATATTTATCTTTATAATCATAAATTACCTTGCAGCTTGTTGTGGAAATTGTCGGTAATTTAAAAACACTGACCAAATGCATGTTTCATTACAGAGAAAGCATAAATAATCGTATTTAACTTAATTTTAATACAGTCCTATATCTGAAATGTTAAACAAAAATCATTGACAGTATTTTTTAATGTGGCACTACTGAGTTTTTGTCTGTACCAAATTGAATACTACTGCATTTCCAAAAAATTGTGATGCTGTGCAGAATGTAAATAAAAAAAAGAATGCAATGATGTGCAAACCATTTAAACCCTATATTTCATTGAAAACAGTACAAACACAACACATCAATGTTGAAACTGAGATATTTTATTGTTCTTTGAAAATATTTGCCCATTTTTAATTTGACACCAGCAACATGTTTCAAAAAACCTGGGAAAGGGGCAACAAAAGACTGGTAAAGTGTAATGCTAAAAAACACCTGATGAAACATCTCACAACTAATTAGGTTAATAGGCAACAGGTCAGTAACTGTAAGACTGTGTGGGCAAAAACAATTTAGGAATAATGTTCCTCAACGTAAAATAGCAAAGAACTTGGGTTATTTGTGATAATTATTGTGTATTATGAAAACATCTTCAAGTAGCTTGATGTTATCGCTATATCCATATCGCTCACCTCTAATCTGACATTCTAATTCAGGTTCCTAATCAATTGCAATTCTTTAAAAATAGAGTGCTATTCATGATGTGGATGTAAAGATATATCCTTGTGTTGTCTCATACAGAGGGAGGAGTCGATTATGGTATGTATGTGTAGTATGTTTTCCTAAATGGCACAACTTAACACACTCTCCAGTGTATTGTTCCATGTTTCCCACTTCAGTAACCCACCTTTCCTCCTTTTTATTATCATCTACAAACCAACATAATTCAATATTCACAATGAAAGTTTAAAGTGTGGCATCAAACTGTACTAACTGTGGCCAACTTAAAATCGATGCTTGTATGTTTCGGCTACAGTCACTGAATCATAATGTTGTTATTATACATTTTGTTGTGACCCAGGCTACTTGTACAAGTTCCACATCAAAAGAATGTACTGTTCCTATTCCTCAGTAAGCTAAGACTGTGGTTCTGTGCTCTCCAGCTGCTCCTTCTGCCCCATATGGCATCACTCTGCTAAGCTGTGATGGATCCTCCATGACCCTGGCTTGGAAACGCCCTAAAAACACTGGAGGAACGAGGATCACCTCTTATTATGTGGACAAACGTGAAGCAGGTTCTCTCAACTGGAAAGAGGTCAGCCACAGTCCTGCCACTAGCAGGGTATATAAGGTAAGCTTTATGGCTTAAACACTGTGTGCTTTTATTTAAACTTTCAGAAGTCAATTCAGTTCATTCTGTAGGTGATTTATTTGTTGCAAAACTTTAGACTATACTAAATGTGAGATTTGTACTTCTCTAACCTTCTGTCGGCTTTTTGTACATAGGTGGAGAACCTGACTGCTGGAGTGTTCTACGAGTTTAAGGTCCAGGCTGGCAATCTAGCTGGTGTTGGTCTGCCATCTGAACCCAGTAAGGCCTTTGCCTGCGAGGAATGGACCATGCCTGAGCCAGGTGAGTGCCTGTGGCCTCAAGGAGAACATTGGTTGAAACAATGCATGCACATACTGTGTAGACAAGCTTTACAACATATAAATACATCAGAAGACACATTTAATAAAAGTTGCGAGAAAACATATGCACAGTACTGTGCAAAAGACAGACCACCATCCATTTATTTCCTTTCCAGTTATTCATTTTCAGCATTAGGAAAAAAGCAGGTAACATATTTAACAGAAGCAGCAACAACTCAATATATTTTTCAGTATTTAGTGTCTCCACCAGTGCCTCTGTTACAGTTTCCATGCCTTTTCAGGAAACTTGCTTCAGGAAACTTCATTTTTTTTTTCCACACCTCGAAAAGTTCAGTCCTGAACAACAATCAAGTTGAAACGATTTAATCAAATGATTAATTTCCTCATTAGAAGAAACTAGTTCTCACTACAAGTACAAACATGTGTGCTCCTACTGTTTCATGCCTTTAGGCCCAACATATGACCTCAGTTTCTGGGAGGTGCGGGACCACTCTCTCCTGCTGCAGTGGAGGGCTCCCGTGTACTCTGGTGCCAGCCCCGTCACTGGTTACTTTGTGGAAATGGCCAAGAAGGGATCGTCTGATTTTGTCACGGTGAATGCCGAGCCTGTGAAGCATCGTTACCTGAAGGTAATGAGGATCATTTTGCAGCATCTACATTCCATATTTCTAGTTGTAATTATTATGTATCAATAAATTGCCTGGAGATTGACACTGTATTTTGTTCTGTAGATATCTGGTCTGGAGACTGGAGCTTGGTATGTGTTTAAAGTACGTGCTGTGAATCTAGCAGGGAAAGGAAAGGCCTCAGATGTATCTGACGCTGTGTGTGCAAAGGCTCTGCCAGGTAACTTATACTGCTTACATGCTGCTGTAACACTTTATTGGTATGTTATATGTGTTTTTATTATTCCATCTTTTATCTTTAGGTTGTCATCTTTGCATTTTATGATAAAAATAAGCTCCTGTTTTTTTTATGTTTGAAAGACCAGTTCAATGTTAATCGATTAATTTGCCTTCTGTAATCTTTTCTAAGGTATCAAGGAGATTGAGTGTGGTGTGGATGAGGAAACTGGAGATATTTTCCTGTCCTTTGAGGCTTCTGAGGTTTCTGAGCACTCAAAGTTTACTTGGTCAAAGTCCTACAAAGAAATCACTGAATCCAACAGAGCGTCTGTCTCAGCTGTGGGAAGACGGTATCTTGCCTTTTATCTGTGGATGCTTGGACATGTCAAACTGTGTTAACCCTTAGAGGTTATTGTGCTATAGTAATTATATACAATGACATAATTAATTATATAGAATTGCAAACTTAGTTATATAGTTAATTACACACGGAATTACTAATTTAGTTTACATTCTGTGGTGTTCAAGGCTGAAATTCCAAATTTTTTCTCAAACATGACAAATACTGGGACCCATCTTGAAAAAAATTAATTATACACATAAAGTATATGAACATTTTTTATCTGTATGATGCTTAAATAAATAAATAAATAAAAATAGTGAATATACATTTACAGCATGCTTTTGATGTCATCTGCAACAACTGTGTCTAAGGCATAAAGTGCATTAAAGTCTTGAAACGAAAGTGTGATCTTAACCACCACATTGTGATTGTGTTGCCTCCAGCTCCAGGCTGACATTTGTTAACCCAGAGAAGGAAGATTTGGGCATCTACTCCGTGGCTGTGTCTGACACAGATGGAGTATCTTCCAGTCACACTATCACTGAGGAGGGTATGGTTTGTCCACTTTGGTTTGTCCTCGTTTGTAACACTCTTTTCAGTATTATGTTTTTCCTTTCAAATGGCATGGCTCAACTTTTCGTTCAGTGCACATTTGTTTTTTTCTTTGTTTTTAGAGCTCAACAAAATGCTTGAACTCAGCTACAATATCAGACATCCAAGTAAGCACTTCCGACTGTTTTGAACTTTTTAACTTCTGTCTGGTTTGTATGCGTTCTTGTTTTGTAAAAATGACTTTGTTCTTTTCAATTTTAGTTGTTCCCCTGAAGACAGAGCTGAACTATGAGGTTTTGGAGAAGGGCCATGTGCGTTTCTGGCTGCAGGTCCAGAAGATGTCTTCTGCTGCATCCTACAGATTCATTGTTAATGATAAGGAGGTCACCAGCGGTGAGGTAAAGTTCAATGACCTCATCTTAACTGTCTGTTCAAATTCAACCTCTGGTGTTAAATAGCCATTACTACCACAAAGCAGATCTTTGATGCAATGTCTTGTGTGTATGTGTTTAGGGTCATAAGATCAGCCACGATACTTCCACAGGACTCATTCAGATGACCATTGAGCACTTCACCAGGGCCAATGAGGGCACATACACCCTTCAGATCCATGATGGAAAGGCCAAGAATCAAAGCTCCCTGGTGCTTGTGGGAGATGGTGAGAGCTTGTTTTAACACGTTGATTGGCTGTCACTGAAGCTTTGGTGATAAACCATGTTATCTAAATGTCCTTGCAGGTTTCACTGAATGACTACAGCTTTTCTTTGTTTGGTTTCAGTCTTCAAGGCTGTACTGAAAGAGGCTGAATTCCAGAGAAAGGAACACATCAGGAAACAAGGTTAGAAAGAATAGATCTGTAATGCTGTGTGCTACCATGTAATGGTGGTCACATAACACAAAGTTATATAATGTTATATAATGTTACATAATATTCATATAACGTACACCATATGGACAAATGTACTGGGACACCTACACATTACTTGTACAGAAGCTTTTATGACATCCCACTCTAAATCCATAGGCATTAATATGGAGTTGGTCCCCCCTTTGCAGCTATAACAGCTTCCACTCTTTGGGGAAGCTTTCTACAATATTTTGGAGTGTGTCTGGGAATTATTGTGCATTCATCCAGAAGAGCGTTTGTAAGGTCAAACACTGATGTTGGATGAGAGGACATGGCTCGTGATCTCCATTCTAGTGCATTCTAGTGCGGTTGATATCAGGCTTCGGTGCGGGCCAGTTAAGTCTTTTAACAAGCCTTATGGATCTTGCGTTGTGCATTGGGGCCCAGTCATCCTGAACCAGAAAAGGGCCTTGCCTAAACTGTTTCCCAAAGTTGGAAGCATACAATTGTCTAAAATGTATTGGTATGCTGAAGCATTCAGATTTCCCTTCACTGGAACTAAGGGGCCAGTAGTGGTGTGCCTTACACCACTCCATCCGATGCTCAGCATTGGCGATATAAGGCTTGCATTCACCTGCTTGGCCATGGAAACCCATGCCACGTGGCTCCCAGTGGACTTTTTTGGTGCTGATGTTAATGCCAAAGGAGGTTTGGAGCTCTGCAGTTATTGAGTCAGCAGAGCATTGGCGACTTTTATGCATGATGCATCCTGCTCTGTAACTTTATGTGGTCTGCCACTTCGTGGCTGAGTTGCTGTTGTTCCTAAACACTTCCACTTTTCAATAATACCGCTCACAGTTGATTGTGGAATTTCTAGGAGTGAAGAAATTTTGCAAACTGTCATGTTGCATCCTAGTACAGTACCACTCTTAAATTCAGTGAGCTCTTTAGAACCACCCATTCTTTCACAAATGTTTGTAAAGGCAGACTGCATGGCTACGTGCCTTATTTTTTACACCTGTGGCAATGGGAGAGAATAAAACACCTGAATAATTGAGTAAGAGGTATGTCCCAATACTTTTGTCCATAAAGTGTAGATCATAAATTGTCAAACATGCATAATGACTTCTTTGAATGTAATTTGATTTAGTTCTGACATTGTCTTGTGTATGGTCTATTTTGACCATGTTGAAATGATTTATTTTGCCTAGGCCCTCATTTCTCAGAATATTTGACCTTCCATGTGGATGAAGACTGCACAGTTATGCTTGTTTGCAAAGTAAGTAGGAACCCTGTCTTTAGACAATGTACACTAGCATTCAAAAGGCTTTTATTTTATTCAGTTTTAACTACAATGTAAAATGAAATACTATAAGCTAGACACCAGAAAATATTTTAAAATATTTTATTCAGTATTGCTTGAAATATGTTCCTGGCCGGGCGGCCAGGGTTCTTTCTGTGTAGAGTTTGCATGTTCTCCCCGTGTCTGCGTGGGTTTTCTCCGGTTTCCTCCCACAGTCCAAAGACATGCAGTCAGGCCAATTGGATATGCTAAATTGCCCCTAGATGTGAGTGTGCGTGTGAATGTATATGTCTGTTTGTCTGCCCTGTGATGGACTGGCAACCTGTCCAGGATGTATCCTGCCTTCCGCCCAATGACTGCTGGGATAGATCCAGCTCCACCCGTGACCCAGAGGGATAAGCGGCATAGAAGATGTGTGTGTGTGTGTGTGTGTGTGTGTGTGTGTGTGTGTGTGTGTGTGTGTGATTGAAATATAATATTGCAAAAAAGGTTTATGAGGAACACCAAAATGTTACTGAATGCTAAATATATATTGTAATTATATTATCTGCTTAAGATTTGATCTCAATATTTCAAATACAAGGTGTTCTGAGTTTCCTACTAATTGGTTGAATTCTGTCATAAAAGACCCCAGTCAGTCTTTATTCATCACGAAAGAGCCATTTCATTCATTTATCTATAACAGCTCTTTTTTCTTCTATTGAAAACAGAGATGTCAAACTTTTGAATTGTATTTCCAAACTTTTGTATCATTGTTTTTCTACATTAAATAACGCGTATCTTAGGCAATTTACCATTCATTTGTACGTAACCATGTAGAACAACAACATATAACACAACTCTATATCCTTTTTGTGTTAGAAATACATTTACTGACAACATCTGTCTGACATACTTTGGTAAACCAGAAAACGGACATAAAGCTGCTGTTCATGTGTTTGCTTTGTAGTTGGCCAATGTGAAGAAAGAGACCACATTTGCATGGTTTAAAGATGATGAAGAAATTACCCTTGATGTTGCACCTAACCCGATGTCTGGAACCTGTGCTCTTCCTATCCCCCTGGTATGTATTTTTAGTGATGCAAATGGAACCGAAAAAGAAACATTCCTTAATGTAGAATATTTCAAGTATGTTAACTTTGAACTGAAAGTTGCTTCTTGACTCATGCATTTGATCTGTTAAAAAGTTCTCCAGAAAAGACCAGGGAGTGTATAAAGCTGTACTAGCTGATGATCGTGGAAAAGATACATCTGTTTATGACATTTCTGGCCAAGGTAATGTATTTACGTCAGTTTTTTTTAATCACTGGCCATTGTCTGTCATATTGCCAAGGACACGGTATTTAATTGCTTCTCTCTTTGCTTTGCAGTATTTGAGGATATTGTCAATGCCATTGCCCACATTGCTGGTATGTTAACTGTTTTTTCCTGTCAAGTGAAAGAATATTAGAAGTTCTATAACCGCAGCATCTGTGGTAATAGCAGAATCAGGCAGTTCTGTTGGCCCAGAATGTGTCCAATAGCTTTTACTCATTCATCTGCCATTATCCTAAAGGGTGAATTTTACAGATTTTTTTCCACCACAGTTCACTAACTTGTATAGCTTATATTTTATATTTTTAACTTAACTTTAACTTAATGTGTTTGTGTTGTATGTATATTTCTATTTGCTGTAAATGCATGGGTAACAGAACCCATTAGTGACCATTATGCAGTGCTCAGATGTGCACTGAAATGGTATGAATGTTGAGAATGGGAGATACACTGGATAACTGAGTCTGGCTTCTGAACACTTTGTGCTTGTTGCAGGCTCTTCTGCTTCTGAACTGATGTTGCAGTGCACTCCAGAGGGCATCAGGCTGCAGTGCTACATGAAGTACTACACAGAAGAGATGAAGACCAGCTGGTTTCACAAGTATGCCCTTGCTTCTTCCAGTTAATCTACCAGTGTCAACAAGCGAACGTTATATGAATAATACTGCATACGGCAGTGTCATCCTCATGGCATTATTGAATCTGTATTTGGTTTATAGACAAATTTTGTGTTGGTACCAATATCCGGTACTTTCCATGCACAACATATCTACTGACCCCAGTACTGATGCCAGTACAAATATTTATAAAATGTAGAAATTGGGACTAAATCTACCTGGATTAGCATGCAGTCATGCAGTAATGTATGTAAAATGCACATATTCTAACACAGTAGCCCAGTACCACGTAAACATTCTGCCCTTCCAGCATACCATAAATACATCATAAAAAAAATCTAAATAATGAATATATACTATATAACAGTCAATATATAATATATATGTCCAATGATGATTTTTATAAGCAAATATCTATCAAAACCAATTTGATTCCGATATCATTGTGCACCCCCATGAAAAATTATATTGGTTTAGAGCAGTCTTAACAGTTGAGTCATACAGAGAAACTGAGTGATAGTCATTACATGGATTTAAATATAAAAAAGGCAATTGTTATTCTTGGTTTTAGGGAGAGTAAGATCGCCTCCTCAGAAAAGATGAGAATTGGAGGCACCTCTGAGATGGCCTGGATGCAGATCTGTGAGCCCACTGATAAGGAGAAGGGTCATTACAGCATTGAGATCCACGATGGCAAAACTTCCCACACACGTAGCTTTGACCTCTCTGGACAAGGCAAGAAACTGCTGCATTTTAAATAGATGCTTCTAACTTGCTTTCTTTTATAATTTAGTCTTATGATCCAGTACATTCAGGTGAATACTTATGATTCTGCCACATTACTCCTTCATTACACTTGCTTAAATATTAGACTTAATGCAATGTATAATGCACTGAAGAAACATCCATTTATTCCTGGTTATCATTGTTTTCTACAGCATACAATGATGCCTATGCAGAATTCCAAAGACTCAAGTAAGACAAATCGTCATGCATATAAATATGATACATTTTCAATTGTCTAATCATGATTACCTCACCAGTGTTTTTGCTAATGAACTGTTTTTCTTTTTTTCAGGGCTGCTGCATTTGCTGAGAAGAGTGAGTATGATGTAGACTGACAACAAAAGAAAATGCTTAGTCTGCAGTAATAATGTACTTTAAGACAGTCTGACTCGGCTCCTTGATGATGCAGTTCTAGTCATTATATTCAGCTGAATGTAGCAGTTTTTGATCTAGTTTACTGTTGATGGCTTTGAGTAGTTACTACTTATAGTACATGGCACTGGAACGTGTATACATTTGCCAAAATGTCTTTTCTCCTTATCTTCTGTAGACCGTGGCAGAGTAGTGGGTGGACTGCCAGATGTTGTGACCATTATGGAGTATAAGGTAATATTATCATGGGCTAATCTTTGTTAGAATGTTTCTTACAACAAATGAAAACTAAGCCCACACCTAAATTATACCACTTCTGTGGTGAGTTGCAATTAGTTGACTTATATCCCTATCAACTGCATTCATGAGAAATAGTAATCGTTTATCATATTCATTATTGTATTAATTCAGTTGGTGCACATACCCCCCCCCACCATATCAACTTTATTGTGACCTCTCACCTTTGCAGACCCTGAGTTTGACATGCACAGTGTGGGGTGACCCTAAGCCAGAGGTTACCTGGTTTAAGAATGAGCAGGAAGTTGTGTCTGATGACCACAATCAGATCTCCTTTGAGAGTGGCAAGTTCGCCAGCCTGACCATCAAGAATGTCACTGTGGAGGACTCCGGCAAGTACAGCATCAATGTGCGCAACAAGTATGGTGGTGAGTTTGTGGAGATCACCGTCAGCGTCTACAAGCAAGGCGAGCAGATCCCTGAACCCAAACTGGGACAGATGGCTAGACCTACCCCAATACCCGCTTCACACGCACCACCATCCAAACCTCAAACTCCTGCACCATCCGTGAAGGCCCCAACGCCCGCTCCACCCCCATCTGTTAAATCTCCAACCCCTACACCTCCTCCATCCGTAAAGTCCCCTACCCCAGCTCCAAAATCCCCAACCCCACCAAGAAGTGCCAAGTCCCCCACCCCACCCAGGTTTATGAGGTCCCCAACTCCCACTAAAAAGTAAACAAAAGGCTTTTGCTCTTAAAGTTATGTTTCAGATATTGATAATGCAATTGTAGTGCTTGATAACAACATTAAAATAACACTGACCTCCACATTAGTTTGTTGTGTTTAAAAGAAATGGCTCATGAATGAAATGCTCATTGACTCAGAATGCCATTTTTCAGTGTCAGAAACATGGGTTTGAGTAGATTCTCTTAGGTCAGCTTAAGAGAACTCAAAATTGGGTCTACAGTGTACCCACCCTAGAGGACAATGCGAAACAAATGGTCAGCATAGCTTTGGTCAGCAAGTTTTTGTTCGTATGTGTTGCACTAGCCAAGCTAAAAATATAAAGATTATGAAGTTGAAACTCAAAGGTGCTGTTTACTAAAACAGTCACCATATATTTCTCATCTTGTTCTGTAGCTCCCTTAAGCTTTGTGTTGGCAATAAAACCAGCGATCAACTTCCCTCTGTGTTATTTCTTGTCTTTTTTTAACTTAAACAATATCATGTCATAGAAAAATAAAAACATATCATGGGAACCAACCCCTGTTTCATACTCAAAGCTAATGCTTACCCACTACAAGTAATAACTCTAAAGCAGGGGTGCCTAAACTTTTTGTGTTGGTGAACCAAAGTGCACTTTTTGTGGTGGTCCAGAAGACCAGTATACAAGTTAAGAAGGTAAATAGGCTTCCATTCAAGTTTTAAAATATATGTATTTTATAACAATTCACTGTATTTTATTAATATATTTAATTAATATACTTTAAAAGCATATAATAAGTTCATTATAGTATACAGATATGTTTGTTCTCTCACTGGGTGAGGGGGAGGGTTAGAGTAACTTTCTGGGCAACCCTAAAGTAATAAATACTGTATTTCAACAATTAATCCTGACTCTGAGGGAAATCCAGTGACACAACTTAGGGTCTGAATTGAATCATCTTTAGTTTCAGTAGATGAAAACTCACAAAGGTCTTAATAATTCTCTGATTAGATGAATCAGGTATGTTAAATGAGGCTGAATGCTAAACTGTGCATTGCTGTGTCCCTCATGACTGTCTGACACTCCTTGTCTATTCATTCTTTGGAGAACTTAGACTTAAATTTTACCTTTACAAGATGAAAGAAGGATTTCATTAATCACTATACAGAAGTGTCAGAAAAAAAACACACATTTTCCCAGATGGATCATTATGAGTTTTTATTTTTCATCACTATCATTAAATGGAGCTCTTGGCATTCCTTTTTAAGTCACATGATTTAAATACATGAGTGTGTTTGGTTCTCATTCTGTTCTACGACGAGACTTAAGTCAGTAAAATCAATCCATCCATCCAACCATTCATCAGATTGAAAATCCCTCTAGATGAAATATTCCAGACCTTTGTTTCTGTCTGCATCAAGCTCCTGTTTCTCAATCTCAAAGCGTTTCATGGCAATGAAATACTGCACAAATGGCTCACCAAGTGCCCCACGAATCACTGCGTCTTCTGCCAGAGCCTCTAAAGCATCCTCTAGTTTAACCGGAACCGCAAACTGTTTCTGCTGGGTTGGAGCTCTGTTGAGACCCTGATCTATGCTGAGATTACGCTTAACACCATCCAGACCAGCTGCTATAGTTGCTGCCAAAACTATGTAAGGGTTTGCCATTGCTGAGCCAAGCCTGTTATCAATGTAAGTCTCCCGTCCACCGTGGAACTTCACGTTAAAGGCACAGCTGTTGTCATTGCAGCCACATGTGGCATAGAATGGGTGCTTTGAATCTTTGCCTTTAGTAAGCTGATTGCGGCAGCCGATGCCTGGTGCCATTAGGCAGCTCAAAGCCGGTGAGTGGTGGAGAAGTCCACCAAGCCATTTTTTGCCGATATCAGACAGCTCCTCAGTGCCTGAATGGAAAAGATTTCTCCTGCCGTTGGCATCCCATATGCTATGGGAGAGTAATCCCGAATTGTAGATGGTTTCATCAGTGAGGAAGGTGGCAATGTAGTTATGCTTCCTGGCCATCTCTTTAATTCCAGTTCGAAAGGTGAAGGCACTGTCTGCAGCATCAATTCCAAACAAAGGCTTGAAGCAGATCTCCATCTGTCCAGGACCGCTGGAAGATGCTAAACTGTCCACATCAACACCCATGTGGTACATCCCTCTCACAAGCTGCTGTAGGAAGGGCAGGTCATGATTGCTCAGCAAAGTAGTGGCAGGGAAAAAAACAATCTTGGGGCCCATCCGCTCTGGCGCTCCTAAGATGCAGCATTCATATGTGAAGGAAGAATGGATCGAGAACCCCATGCTTTGAAGCTGACCAAGCATCAGCTTAGCGATGAGGCGAGGAGAGGTGCGCAGTGGGATCCCTGTGATGGTGCAAGGATCACAAATTATACGAGCAGTCTGTTCAGCCCAGGGAAGCACCCGGAAGGTGGAGAGATCAGGGATCAGAAGAACATCACTACTAAAATTGGCTGCAGTTGGATGATCAACCTCATTGTCTTTGGGGCTCAATGTCAGCTCCAGGTAGCTTCTAGGCATGGGCACACCATAAACAGCTTTTTCCTGTAATACCAGTAATAAAATGATTAATACAGTTATATGGAAAAGTTTGGGCACCTCTGGCCAAAGTACATATTTTAATTTTTTGATGTGTTCCTTTACACTTGGTTAACTTAAAAAATACAAAAAAGTATTGTATTATGTGAAAAGTTTGGACACTCAGTCAGTGTCTAGTAACACCTCTTTGCCAGATATCACAGTATGGAAACGCTTTTTGTAGTCAGCTAGGAGCTGTTTCAGGCATTTTTACAGACTCTTCCTTGCAGGACACATCTAGTCCTACAACATTCTTTGACCATCTTGCGAGCACACCACGTTTAAGATTTCCAAAATGCTTCAAGCGTATCTAGATGTTGTGTTGCATACTTCAGATGTTGACTTTTGTGATGAAGTCGCAGGTAGGGTTTCGTTCTGATGACTCTTCCATGCAGTTCATATTGGTTCAAGCAACACTGCACAGTAGAACAGTACACCACCACTCCTGTGTCAGTTAAACCTTCCTGACAGTTCTTTGCTGTCATATGGGGGTTTTGCTTTGCCTTTCTGTCCAACATGCAAGCGCTTCTGATGGTTTTCTTGGTCTACAAGATTTTGACTTGGCTTTCGCATTTCCCCACAATGGCCACTTCTTAATAACATTTTGGACAGTGGAAATTGCGAATTGGAAGTGTTTTGGTAATTTGTTTAGCCTTCCTCTGCTTTATAGACATCAGTTTCATTTTCAGATTCTCAGGCAGCTGATTAGAGGAGGATTAGTTGTTGAGTGTTAGCACAAGGTTGAAAGAGTCAGAGAATTTATGATGTTTTGGAGTTGTCATCAGCTGACAATGAGTGCGTTTACATGCACTCAATAATCCAATAACTGCAGAAAATCTGATTTTGTCAGTAATCCTATCAACACATTTACATGCACTTGAGTAATCAGACAATGGAAAACTCCGGGCCTACATGAGTCAGGCAATGATCGAATTTCTGCTTTGCAACTGACCAATAAACTCACAGAAGAAGACGTGACGTAAACATAATGTAAAACTCAAACTTCATACAATGGCTTTTTTTAAACATTGTGCCACTTTACCTGAAAATATGTACTTACATCATCTAGAAGATGAAGAATATTTAAATCCCTTATTTCCTGTTTGGTTTCAGCACCTCTCCAAAAGTGTTTTGCTGCCATCTCGCGACATCCACCGTCCGTTCTTGAACGGACTTGATAGAAATCGGAGTACAAGTATACATGCAATGAGAATCTGAGATCTGATTACTGAGCTAAAATCCAGCTCTCTTTATCAGACTTCTTAATCGGATTTCTAGATTGGAGTATGGTGTTTACATGACCATTTGAATAATCATATAACTGTAGAAATCTGATTATGATTGGATTATTGAGTGCATGTATACGCACTCAATGACTAATGACAATTCTTGACCTGCCTGACCTGTCCAAACAAGTCGATTAAAGCCTAAAATGTTAGATTTAAAACTGGAATGGAATGGTGTCCAGTGTTGTCCTACAATTAAATTTTTTATAAATACATATATATATATATATATATCATATATATATATATATATATATATATATATATATATATATATATATATAAAGCATAGCATTAACATTGGCAGAAAAAATATTTTTAAATACTTTGCTCCAAAGCTTGTGCTTATTTCTTTCCCTTAAAAATCATCAAAATAGGTTAATCGGCCAGAAGTGCCCAAAATTTCGCATACAATTGAATCTTAATAGATTTAATAAAACAATACTATTTTAATACTAAAACAGTTTTAAGACATCAATTAAGCATGAAGATATTTACTTGAAAGAAGCGGGCTGGGACCGTCTTGGATCTCGACACACCATGGAGATCTGTTGCTTCAAAGCGAACAAAGCCAGTGTCCTCCCGAGAAATCTGCTGTTTTATCTGTTCAACCTCCGAAATGAAGTTTTGTGACCCGTGAGATTCTGTCTGCGTATTGTCTTTGTTATCTATGGAGAGTACCAAAATGACCAGCATTAAATATATGGACTAACAAAAAAACTGTGAGACACAAAAGGTTTCGAAATAACTCAAAAAGTTATTCCATTTTACAACTGCCTTGTAAGGCACACCGACCTGTCTGTGAGGACCAAGTCTCTACCCGGTGGGTTCTTTCACTGGTGGGTGACCTAAAACCAGATGGCCTGTTTGTATGACCATCGGTCCTAGATGACCCACCAGAATCCCAGCCAGACGAAGCACCTTCTCTTGGTCTTGAGGTTCTTCTGCTGCTTGACAGAATGGGTTTGAAAGTTGTGAAGGACTTTGATGGAACCTCGTCTGGTCTGCAATCCAGCCTCTGTCCAGGCGTGTGGCTGCTGGGACTAAGTGGCCGAGCCTCATCCCTCTCTCTTGCACTCAGCAGGGAGCTCTCTCTTAATAGACTCTTCAGTTCTTCCATTGTTTGTTTAGAAACACCTCCTTCTGTGGGGGGTGAGCTGCCTTGGTGGTCTTCTCTACTCCACTCATCGTTACTGACATAGTCCTGATACTGGGATTCAGTAGAGACAGTGGGTTGACAGTGTGGGCCAATTGAAATGACTGTAGGGTTTTCAGTGGGGTTTGGAGCAGAAAAATTAGTCTGGACTATGGGCACAGGTTTCCCTCTTCCTTCCCAGTCCGAAGAGGCTACGTGTTTACCACTTACCCTGACGCCCTTTCTGCTATGGCTCAAACTGCCTCCGTCTATTTGGTCTGAATCCATGCTGGCTGTCTCCTAAATTAATGGTTAATGGTTAAAGGTTTTCATATTGCTAAACATGCAAACAGATTTTTAGCAGTAGCTAGGGGTGGGCAATATGACGATATTTTATTATTATCATGATAAATTTTGTCACAATACAATTATCTGAGCATATCATGGAAATCGGCACTACTTACACAACACTGATCACCTGCGAGTTTCATTACAAAGTGAGCATAATTAGGCCTGTTTTAATTGAATTTGGTGCAGCACAGTTTTTAAAACATTAAATAAAATCATTGTAGTTGTAAATGTATTATTACTATAGTATTTTACATGTAGCACTGCAGGTTCTATTTTGTCTGTTCCAACTTATTAAATCTCAGAAAAGCTAAATATTGTGATGCATATTGTGCATCATGAAAATACCTTAAAGTATCATGATATAATTTTTTTTTTGCCATATCGCCCACCCCTTGCAGTAAGAGAAATGTATTTTCCTTTATTAAAATTAACATTGTACAGTGACTTTAATTACTATAGTGCATTAAAAAAAAACAAATAAAATCAATTAAAAACTCACTCAAATACCAAATAGCACTACATCCACAAAGAAACCAGAAAACTGTACCTTCTCTCTAGAGTTTTCTGATTTTTGCATTGTCTCTTCTGTTTCTTAATCCCAGTGGTTTCAAATTTGATTAGCTCCAAGTTGAAACAAGAGCTATGGCCGAGCACATCTTTTATAGGCCACTGGTACAATGGTGACGGATTGGAACATTCTCTCTGTGCTCCCCATGTGTCCAGAGTAAAGTGCTTCGCACACCCAACAACCAATGACTGAAATGCGCACGCTCTTCCTCCCATTGGCCAAACCCACGAGCTGTCTAGGCTGTTCAGTGACCCATTGTATGGGCAGGGACTGGTGAAAACAATGCAGTGCATCAGCTTTTTGCACAGGCCACTAAACATTTGTCAAACTTCTAGAATGATGTATTTCAAAACAAAGAGAAAGAAAATCTCACAGCCATTGTCCAGCCCATTATGTAGGCTTCGTATGCACAATGACTTTCTCGTAGATACATTATAAATGTGCCTTGATTAGAGACTTTACATAACTTTACATGCACAGGGGCCACTCTCCTCTTTACTGTGCTAAACATTGCACTGGACGCCAGTCTCACTGGTCTTTTTATTTCAGTCGTTATAAGATTATGTTGATCCTCGTTAAGTCGTGCTAAGAAATGAGAAGTAAATGGAACAAATTCTTATATCAAATTCTCTCATTTAATTCGTGCTGCCCTTTTACTACGTAGGCAAAGTATAGTAGTTATGTGACCTGATTTTGTGAAACGCGTCCCTCCCCTACTTCCAGGGTGCGGTTACTGCAAGCACGACCCAGGCTAGCTGTAACTGGTTGAAGCCGAGAGTCGCTCATTAGACACGACGCTCGCGCTGCGGCTGTATGGTGAAAACCCACTTCAAATATTTTACGGCTTTCTTGGGACCGGCTTTATGGTTAAGCTACAATCTTCAATGAGTAAGCATATTCCAGTAAGTAAAAACGAATAAGGTTTAAACGTGCTCACTTTATTCAATTAAGATTTCCGTTCTTTTTTCCTGGTTTTTAGTTTTTGCGAAACTGTTCTCAAAACGAGGTCATTGTGTTAGCCTGAAAGCTAACTAGCCTAGCATCTTTTAGCGTCAACGACCTGAACACACGAGCGTGTTGTGAGAAAAATATACGTTTATATCTAGCTTTTCTTGATATTTATGTATCGTACACTGTACTTTATGGGATGTAGTATTTACCAGCTTTTTTCTACCTTTATACCTTACGGGTGCTATGTTAGTTAGCTAGATAGCTAAGAAGCTTTGTGCTTTAGCCTACTAGCTAGAATGTCGGTGCGACGAAGGATTAGTCTTGGATGAAAAGGTTGTCCATTCGTTGTATGTGTGGAGACCAAATAGTTACTCGAGATTTTAAATGAGGAAAATGTTGTTTGTAATTACTTAAGCTATTCAAGTTATTAGCTAGCTAGGTTAAGATTCTTCTTTCAGGTCACCAACATTGGGCCCGACAGGTTGTTCGCTAACCTAGCTTTCCTGCGGCATAACAGATCGGGGTTAGCAAATTCTTCCTTCATCGGAGTCTTATTTCTTTGTGAGGGAGCTTACCAGCTGGCCTATTGTGTAGTTTCTTGAGTTAGCCTGCTAGCTTTCAGCTAACTAACGTTACTAACTAACGTTACTGTGTTATACTAGCCGCAAGTAAATTTCAGAATTCCCCAGCTAGCTCAGCATATGTGTTACAGACCTAACGTGACTTCAATCTAAGCTACGAAGGCGGATATGAGAACTAAATCAAGTGAAGTTTCAAGCACCGAAATTAGCCGTTTGTCCTAAAATATAAATAAATAAACAAACGCATAGATGGAGTGAAACGGTTACACGTCGTTTTCTGACAACAAAACAGTCCCTGCGCTATAAGCGAGTCACGACAGCGTCAATACACATTCCCTCTATGATACCTGCTGCTTATCCGATTCAAAACGGTATATGCGACAATATATTGACGTCACGCAGATAAAAGTGGTCTGTGATCCTGTAGCAACGGCACCACCCTGTTTGTTTACCTGCCTCTGACCCCTCTATCTCTTTGCTTTGTGCCATTACAGCAGTTCTGTGGTGTATTGGGTCACACATTTATGGAGTTTCTGAAGGGCAGTGGAGACTACTGCCAGGCTCAGCACGGCGTATATGCAGAAAAGTGAACGGCGAGCCTTGCTACCTCACTGGAAGAGAGACTTGTGTGAGTGTTTTAACGTTGGCGGGATCGGACACGGAGAGCAGGCGTCCACAGCAGCCAGGCCGGTCTGGATGGGGTAAAAAATCTCCAGAAGTGCACTGCCCTCGTTGGCCCTCCGTCTCCTCGCTCACCTGAGGACCAGCCTTTTTTTAATTTATTATAATTTTTTAAAATTTTCGTTTTCCCCTTTTTTCTTTTTCATTCCCAGCATTTGCTCTTTACACCATTCTTTGGGTGATAGTTTCTTTCTGACTCTCCGTGGCAGAATTTTGTTTTTGGGTTGGTGAAGTATCCTCCCTTTTTAGTCGATTTTGGTTAATTTTTCATTGTCAACAATGGCCCGTATGAATAGACCTGCCCCTGTGGAGATCACCTATAAAAATATGAGGTTCCTCATCACCCACAACCCCACCAATGCCACTCTAAATAAATTCATTGAGGTGAGCCTCTATATATTGTCACTTGGCTTTATACAGTTGTATATAACTCGACACTCGTTACGTTTTCTTGATTTTCTAATTGAAAATATGTTCACACCTTTACAGGGAACAGGGAATATGTCTTTTTAATGCTAATTTTAGTGTAAAATTTCTCTTTACTTGCTGACTTCAACATATTTGATATGTATAAAAATGTTTTATGTTAAATTCAGCAAATAACGTTATTGTGCATTAAAATGTGCAGAACTGTGTTCTATGTAGACGATGTTAACTTATTTTTACTTTTAAAATCAATAAAACATCATTTGACCGAGTGTTCCCAAATTATACACTCAACTATATACTCTGTAACTTGCAAAGCTGACAAATGCAGGTTTTGGTTGAAGCCCCCCCCCTTAGGTTCTGCTCAAAGCCTGGATTTTCAATGCCAAAATCCTTAAGTTGTCCATTAGAAAAAGTAGCCTTGAGGATAAGGGGGAACGTCTTCCAAAGCATTTTTATTTGTTCTTCTGTACAAAGCTTGTGTGTGTGTGTGTGTGTGTGTGTGTGTGTGTGTGTGTATATATATATATATATAAGGAAAAAAAGGAAGCCATAACGGTCTCTAAAACCAAGCCCTGTTCTCCTGTGAAATGCATTTTAATGAAATGTTAAAAGCTCATTTGTGCAGCCATCTGAAACACATTCCAAAACGATTAACCGGATTTATTCTTTAACAGGAACTGAAGAAGTATGGTGTGACAACTGTTGTAAGAGTGTGTGAAGCAACGTACGATGCCAACCTGGTGGCCAAAGAGGGCATTCAGGTTCTGGTGAGTCCAGTCGAAGGAATATTAAAAGCGTAATATTGAAAGCAATAACATATACTTAATATAGTACATAATTGCAAGAAGAAACTGACTTCACATGAGTCTTACGAAGCAGACTTGTTTCAAATAATCTTCTCTTTATCTCTCAAAACCTGTAGGATTGGCCATTTGATGATGGAGCTCCTCCTTCTAACCAAATTGTTGATGACTGGTTAAATCTGCTAAGGATTAAGTTTAGGGAGGAGCCAGGCTGCTGCATTGCTGTCCACTGTGTGGCTGGCCTTGGAAGGTAATGTTTTGTGGAAAACAGGTTTTACTAACTTGCCAGTTTTATAATACAAACTGGAAAATTTTAGTTGGATCCAAAAACTAATATAACCCACAGGAGAGTATTAAACCTTTAGGATGTTGGACTACTATTCATCAATATTGGAGATTTTCAAGGTACAAAGTTGAATGCATGTACTTTTGTTTGTTTTTTTGTTGTTGTTTTTTGTTTTTTTTGTTTTGTTTTTTGTTTTTGTTTTTTTGCACCTACTGGAAAATGATGAAACAAAGTCCTTATGCAATATGTTTTCTGTGCTTTGTTTCCATAGAGCTCCAGTCTTGGTTGCCCTTGCTATGATCGAGTGTGGAATGAAGTATGAAGATGCTGTCCAATTTATCCGACAGTAAGTTGTTTTTTTTTCCCACCACCAGTTACATATATAATACATATTTTTAAAGCAGCTTTAAATCCCTCATTTAATACTTGCATTTGTTTAAAAAAAGAAAATGATGTTTTGTACTGTTAGAGCGTAAGGCTACAATACTACAGTACAGGTGAAAATTCAGTCTGTGATTAAGAATGTATATCAGCACAGTGATTGTGTTTTTTGAAATGTATCAGGAAGCGCCGTGGAGCATTTAACAGCAAGCAGCTCTTCTACTTGGAGAAGTATCGTCCAAAGATGCGTCTTCGCTTCAAAGACTCGAATGGCCATCGCAACAACTGCTGTATCCAGTAGAGCTTGCACACTAACCTTGCTGGAGTAGCATTATCCAAATGTTTCTCTAATGTGGGGAGTTTGCTCTCTTAATTGGTGAACATGTGAAAATACTGCTAAAGAAATGAATCTTATTCATGTGTAAGTATCCCTTTCTGTCTTGATTTTACATCGTGGCCACATTGTGTGGTTTGTTGGCAAGTTTAGAGTGCTTATGTATGCTTGTTAAAATTTGAAGAAGGATGTTAATGTGTTACATCTCTTGTTTCAGCCATTGGCTTCTTTGGCAAGTTGTCACAGGAGTGCCCTCTGCCAAACGAAAGGTTTTTTTTAACATCCATGAAACATCACAGAAGTATGATTTTAATATTTTGTCATTTGTGATGAGCTTAAGTCCATAATGATGCCTGCCTTCCAGTGGATCATATTTAAATGCCTTACTAAAATGGAAAGAGGCCATTTCATGGGGCTAAGTCTATGGCATCTGGAGAAGTGAAACAGCTGGAGATGTGTAATGCAGGAAAATCATGAGTTAAAAAAAAATCTAAAGAATAATTGTTGGGGGGGGGTGGGTGGGTGACAGAAGAAGTGTATATGGAAGGTGTGGGATCTAGTTTGTGTTGTTGTTTATCCAAACTTTGTTTACTAATTACTGCCATGTCAGTAGTGTGATGTTTGTGTTTTGGCTTCAAACTGGACCTCTGCGATATTTTGTATGCCTTTTTATTTGATGTGCGTAACTTAATACTTGGATACTTGATTTATGTACGGTATTTGAAATGTGTACTATTAGATTGGCTATTTATACTATAAGTGGGTATGTGTTTTAGTATAGTGAGAAGTTGTAACTGTTCACCAACTTGAGAGAGTACATTAAAGAAATAAAGAATACACTGAAAAGACGAGTTGTCTCTGCAGTTTGCATGTGAAGACAGCTTTTATGTTGAATTATACGTCCAGGCTTCGCATACAAAAACATGCAGAGCTTTATCAAAATCATTTATTTACCCCTTTTTCACAATTGTACGTGTAACATTGAACGTGTTGTAAAATAAATAATAATAGAAAAGTTCTAGCTACTTCTCCAAACATCAAGAAAAGGCTTTAAGCCTTTTCATTGCACTGAACCACACATTAAATGTAACTCCACAATAACAGCATGTCCTTATCAGGTGGGACAGAAATTAACACGCAGTTAAATGTACCATGATACGTAATTGACGCGCAAGTGTAACTTGCAGAGGAGTTACAGTGTTGCACATGTACGTTTATTTTTGAATTTTGTTCTGTTGGTCCTTGAAAGTAAGGCAACCTGAAAGTTAGGGGATAGATGTGGAGAGTGTGTAGTATAGCAGTAATTTTGAGGTCACAAAATACTGTATATTTACATTTAGTTCTACACCTTTAAATCATGTACAAACCTTTTACATTGGGACTAATGTGACTATACAGGAGTTATGTATGAAGAACAGCATTAGTTTTTATTTTGCTTTCTCTTAAAATGAATGCAAATGCACTCATCTAGCAAACAGATGTATTATGCAAGATTTTGTAGGACTATTTCACAGTATTGTTATGAGTGAAGAACAGCTGTCTATTATCCTGTGTAAAAAGCCCATTTCTGCACATTGTAACCTGTACAGCCCTAGATTTATCATAAAATAAATGGCTCAAAATCTTACATGGTACATCTTTAAAGAAAACAGTGTTGAATGCAATATGGACACGAGTCACGCGGTCATGGTGGCAATGAACTGCGTAGCATACCCCTGCAAAAAAAACCTTGCTGAAAACGGTTCTCTCCCTTAGTCTTTGAACTTTTCATGGCTGCAGATTGTGGTCTCAAGTTTGCAGCCGATGTATAATCATGTGTTCTCTTAAAAGCTGTCTGGTCCCTTCATGTTGGACTCTTTGGCATACTGTGGTGCAGCGATGGCCTGGAGAACACACTGGGATGACTCACAGTATCCATTAAGGCCAGGAGGGCCAGGAGGTCCTGGAACTCCAGGTATTCCAGGTACACCACGAGGCCCTCTCATACCGTCACGACCATCGCTGCCATATGCTGGCTGGCCAGGCTCACCTGAGAATCGGTGAAAACAGACAGGCACACAGGGCTCGGTGTGAGTCCTTTTCAGCAAAGGGTGCTTTGGCAGAGTAGTCATGTCATTGCTCATTTCAGTGACTGTCAAATAAAAAAAGTTTTAATCTCACCTGGAAGTCCTGGAGGTCCAGGTATGCCTTTAGGCCCTTGTACTGTAGGCCCTCTGTCTCCCCTGTCTCCTGTGTCACCTTTATTAGGGCAGGTATACAGTATGTGTAAACTGAGTAATGTTTCACATCTGAAGTCTAAGATTTTTATCATATCACTGGTTTTGTCTCAACTGCTGTAGTTTAAAGAAAAAAACATTATATAGCTACTATTGTAATAAAACCTTTTATTACTGAAAAGTTATCGTTATAGGAGAAGAACATTTCTAATTTTAATAGACAGTTTGAACATATAATTCCAGTCTTATTCAGTCAGCACTGGCTTTCTGTTAAGTTCCAAAATCTTCTTTGACAAACAGTACAAACCTTGTATCTCTGTTTTTATCATTTTTTAATGTTTATTACAGACTTTGAAAGCAACCCTATGCATTGTACACCCAGTGCTACCCTTTACATTGTATTGAAATGGTCCAAAATGACTTAGAATGCTATCTATTTGCATCAACTTCCATTAATAGTTACAATTTTTTCTTCTCTTGTAAAATTACCATTTTGCTGTGATAGTGATATCTTACTGATCTGTTATAGCCTGTCCCAACCACTTTCCTCAGCTGAGGCAGGCTAACCACAAACCCCTTACAGCACAGCTGGTGGAAGATCATTTTTTTGTATTGGTCATAAAGGCCCCCCTGGTCTGCACTGTGGCTCACTTTCTCCTGTTTGTAGTTGCACTGTTATTTAATTTAGAATGTAGTGTTTTTATCTTTTTAACATTTGAGTAGATGCCAGTATTTTATCCCAAGAAATTTTGGGCCATTTCTGTCTGTGCATTTGTTGGGATGTTCAAAGAACTGAGGTTTTCACAGTGAATATATGTGCATAATGCACAGTCTCTATAATTTAATCAAATGATAGTTTCATCATTCTCTCTGCACTGGTAACGGTCAAATTATCTAAATATACCATCAACCACATTATTTTAGTCTCAGGACTGAAAGAAACTAACCAACTTTTAACAGTGTTTCTGTACCTTTAGGTCCTTTATGTCCCAGAAGGCCAGGAGGTCCTTTAAGCCCTGGTAACCCTCTTGCTCCAGGGTGTCCTGGGAAGCCGTTTTCTCCAGCAGGCCCTTGGGGTCCAGGAGGGCCAGGAGGACCTGGCAGTCCAGCAATGCCGGACTCTGGCCTCCTCAGACTGGCTGCAAGCTGAGCAAGCTGCTCTGTGATGGAACATATTTAGGGATTTTAATACATCACTCCATCACTCAGTCACACTTTTATTATTATAACCTGATGAAATTTGATAGCCTTTTCTGCTGTATTCACTATATTAACTCATATGACAAACACTGACCTTGCATTACCCTCATGCAGACCTGCTTGATGTGTTGATCTGTTGGTCCTCGACCCTGAAAGACAGTGATATGAGTGCTGTACTTCCACTACAGACCACAGAGACAAATTCCACCATGTCACACACTTCTGCATGTGGAGCAGAGCACTGCAACAGGGCTTTAGAGTGACCCAAATCTGAGCATACAGAATCACATGATCCACATGAGCAGAATTCTTGATGATAGGCCAAGTAAAGAGCTTTGCACAACAGAAGCCCAAAACTCAGTTAATGTATTTCAAAATCAACTAATGTAAAGACCAATTAAATATTAATAAAACTAGTCAATCTCAGCACCCAACACACCTGAACCAAGCCATCACAAACACTGAAAAGACATAACAGAAGTGTTGGAAGTCTGGTGGAGAATTAAACCACTTTGCAATGTTATGGGTTTTTAAATGCACACATTTCTGCATAATTTGGTCATTTAAAGGTAAAGTCATTCAGAGTGGTTTGATGTGACATTCTCTGTTCTAGAGAAACTGAGTGAGAATTGTTCACAGTGGTGGTGATAGGAACCAGATGTCTAGAGAATTTAATGCCTTAAAATTTCATCACAGGAGGTTGTTACAAAAAATGGTTACAAATATGCTGTCTGATGTCTGAGACATTGTTTTATGCTAGTTTTGACAAACATTTTTAAAGCCCATACAGCATGGAGAAGTACATGCAGGACATTGTAAGGCAAAACAATCCCCAAAGAAAACATATATTTTTTTTATCACTACTTTATCATAATCAACATTACATATGAAAACTCTTATATAGGACACACATGAGGTTCACAGATGTTTTGGATAGTATTATATATATATATGTATATATATATATATATATATATATATATATATATATATATATATATATATATATGTGTGTGTGTGTGTGTGTGTGTGTGTTGTAAACATTGTGAACCCTTGTTCTCATCACCATTATTTCAAAAAGAAATCAGAGCCACACACTTGACCCAACTCAGAACAATCTAATTATGAAGCCCTTCATGTGCTGGATCAAGTGTGATGGGGTATTTCAAAGTGGTCAGGAACTGTTAAAGTAAATGACTTACTGGTCTTCCTTGTGCTCCAACTAAACCAGGTGCACCACGGTCTCCCTGCATGCCTCTTGGACCCGGCTCGCCCAGCGGGCCCTCAAGCCCAGGCTGCCCACGCGCCCCCTCTGGCCCTCTGTTTCCTGTGTCACCTGGTTTTCCTGTCTGGACAACGGCACATCCATACATGAGAAACTATACATTAACATTTTAATCCTAATCTAATTCTAAGTGAAGTTTATGTGACTGATTTAAATATAATTCTTTAGCAAACTGTTTTCTTTAGAAAATGTAACCATGATCTCTTTCAATTCAATCACTTGAGTACAATAGAGAATTATTTTTATCAAGTACACGTCATTGATGTAAAGCACCACTCATTTTAAGCATCACGTTCTGCTTAAATGCTAATGGTGCCCACTTGTGGAGAGTCTTCAGCCTGCTCAACATGAGTGAGTTGAGTGAGTTATATTACACTACATTTGCTTATAGCTGCTGTTGGAACACCGCCTTGTATCTCCAAAATGGTAACTTTATAGGAAAAGGAAAAAACACACTTTACTTTTAATGTAAGGAACCAGAACTTTTAATTTTGGGACTTTTCTTTTGGTCAGTTCATTGTGAGGCATTTTCAAATTATGTCAAAAACTGAAAAACGACAAGAATACGAGATACAAGTTTCTGTTCCCACAGCAGTGTTACATAAACATATAAACTGATTTTAACAGATTCTAACATTTAAAAATCAATGCAGTTAAACTGCCACCTTCAGATGTATGCATTGATGTCTTTTACATCCCTACTTTCCAGCTGTCAGAAAGACTATGAGTTTGTGTTTAACTCTGAAGTGAAGGGACATATGAAGCCACACTCACCGATCCTTTCTCGCCTGGTTCTCCCTCATCACCCTGTAGGAAAAAATTAACACGATCATTAAGGGTTACCGTATAACTATACGCTTACGGTCAGAATCAGTAACCAACTGGCTGTCAACAGAAATCCTACCCCAACTAACAAATACAGCATCAAATAAGGATAAAACCTACACCCGTTTAATTCAATTTTTACTTTGGGTATGGTAATATTACGTACTACGTCTCCTTTCTCTCCTGGGGTACCCTCCTCACCAGCTGGTCCCTGAACACATGAAAACACAAAACAGATCAAACAACATGAGGAATAATGACAAATTCTGAAACTATGTTTTGAATGTAAGACAAAATTGTCAGATAATGTAGGCTTACTTGCTCGCCTTTTGGACCAGTGAGACCAACTGCTCCCTGAAAGATTATAAAAATAAAGCAGTGTGTTAAGACTTAAGTAAGATAAGACTATTCCTTTGATTTAATCAGTCTGCTTCACATTTCCCACAAGAGAGGACTCTTAGTTCCATACACAATGGCATTTATAAATTTGGAATCTCTGTTTTCAAATCATATGAGATCACTTTGGTTGCAGACAAGTGTATAAACTGATTCTAATTTGCTACACCCTTAAAACGGGAGAAATAGTTATATATAGAACCATGAACACCTAGAGAACCATTTGAATGCATAAAAATGTTTTGCATGGTAAAACTGTTCTTCCCAATGATGGAAAATCTGCTGTATGTGGTTCTATAGAGAACTTTTTAAAAGTGGTTATATATAGGTTCTGCTATTGTTGCAAGTACAAACTTTTTTGGTACTATATAGAACATTTTTCGATTGTAGTTCTGTGAAACTTCACTTGAAAGCTGTAAATAAGTGAAAAAAACTTTAGATGTGTACCAAATGATGACTAGAGCTCTAGAAGATTATAAAATGCTGGATAAGTTATAATAAAATTATTATCCAGAATTCTTCATATTTCAAAAATGGAGATTAAATCTCAAGGAAGATAACTTGATCTCAAGGCAGACAACAAAAAAAGAATGTAAACAGACCATTACAGTAAATTTTCTTCACTTCTGTTCACAGAATTCTTGAAATATTGAATAAACCATTTAAAATGCATATTGGCGAATAGTTTATAATAATTAACTCTATACCGCATAAGACATTGTATATAAAATTATGTTTAAAAATAGTATGGCAAGTGATTCCAAACTTTTGAATGTCATGTAGCTGTGTAAGAAATACCTGTGTGCAGTGTTTAGTGAAGTCCTGTCTGTTTTTACTAACACTGTGAACTCTTTTACTGTTGTATATACTTCTCAAGTCTGGGGAAGTCCTATTGTTTCCCTGCTATAAAACCTCTAAAGCTGGGCTTGATGAATAACATTGATTTAACTCAGGTGTTGTAAAGCAAAGAAGACAAAAGTGTGTGGTGCAGGAAAGTCCCAGCATTTGGACTTTGAACTACTGACATAGATTACTAATAGAATTGAAAGTATTGTCGATTTCTGGTAAAGATTTATATGCCCAAAATACAGGGGCAGTGGTTGCACTTGTAAAAGGTAGATAGCTGCCCATGGCCCCCATGAGCCAAGGGCCCCATGAAAATACAAATTACATATACTGTACATGTTGATGTTAAATAATCTTTTCTGAAATATGTATATATAAATTTTGAAAACAGAAGTTATTAATGATTGTAGCTATTATTTTCAGTAATTTCAATGCAATTCACTTTGTAATCAAACATGCAGTTGGGAATTGACAATTAAGTATTTATGATATCCATGATATGCTCAGAAAAGCATATTGTGACATTTTGTGAGGTATTTATCATGATAACGATAAATATTGTCATATGGCCCAGCTCTAAACTCTATAGGGGTTACGTAACTTTTAACAGTTTTTCCTAGAAAAAGTGATCTTACTGCTCATTACTTTGCTTCTGCCTACTCTGTAACAAATTATCTCACTATATTGGCAGATAAAGCATATTTCTAAAAACCAGCAAAATTATCTGCCAACAATTTGACTAGATGCCTAGAAGTAGTTAATAATCTCACAACATTCTTAAACAATCTCAAAATGACAAATATTAGATACATCAGCTAGATTTAAGATTATTTCACTTGCCAAGATATCATTTTTTGCAGAGTAGACAGTTGCACTTGGAACCCAGAGCCTTGGCTAATTCAAAAATACCCAAACCCAAGGTTTATTATGAACTTAATGGAAATAATGCATAATTATGCTAAGTGCATCACTGTTTCTGTTAAGAGTGAGAAATGAAAGTGAGGCCACTGTTAGCACAGCATGGCTAGGTCTGGGTGAGCACACTGACATAACAGTATTTTGAGCTACACCAGATATTATGACTTTACGTACGTTATGAGGTTTCTTTTGTTACTCTTTATTCCTTTTTTCATATTGACCATATTCCGTGTCTTACCCTGTCGCCTTTCTGACCAGAAAAACCAGCTGGTCCAGGAAGACCAGGTAGGCCAAGATTTCCTTTAGGTCCCTGCAGAATACATAAACACACACACATTTACGCTTGTAAACTTGCAAACCACATTTACTCAAAAAAAAAAAAAGAAAAAAAAAAACATGACTTGGTGAGAGAGGGTACTGGGTGTAGATGTCTTTAGGTGTGTGGATGTGGGTCCAGATTGCCTGATGCCCTCAGCTTGGCTGGTTTGAGGAATTCCTGCAGAACAGAGGGCTCTTTCAGACCCCCTTCCTACTCAAAATATCCCCTTACCAAAGAAAATACTCCTGAGCGCCTAGGCCTCAGTAACAACAGTCTATTCATGCCCCTTTACCAGCAGATCACTGTAGTACAGCAGGCTGACTCATTATAAGGAGATTTCATTACAATTTGGACCAGAAAGCAGGTCCTCTGTGAGAGACTGGGCAAACACTACATAAGAATCTGAAAATAAAGGCCAAAACTAACATGTTTCTAATTGTTGTATTCATTGTTGAACATTTTGACCGTGTAATACTACAATGTCCAAGACTTATGGGAATTCTTTGATATTGGCAGAGAAACAGGAAGAATACATATTACTATATATACAATCGTATGCAAAAGTTTGGGCATCCCTAGTCAAACTATGTTTTGTTGAAGTGAAAGTAAGTACTCATCCTCTACACAAAACTCAATTCTGCAGACTTTATTGCGCAGTTACTGTTTATTTGATGAATTTAACATACTGGGGGGAAAAAAACATAAAATGTGACCTGTGTGAAAGTTCTGGTATTTCTATATTTCATGTTTTACCAGTATGATAAAGCTAGCAAATAAATATAAATTGTGCACTAAACTTTGCAGAAAATTGCCACATTTAAGTGCCTTATGAGGATGCGTTAACTTGGAGTGTGCTAACTTCACTTAAATCAACATAACATGTCATTTGACCAGGGGTGTTTAAACGTATGATTTTACCTTCTTCAGACACGCTAGAAATTCAATTTGTATATACAAGCAGGAAAACATATTAGCATTTTTGTATTTAATACAAATTTTGTATTTGAAAGTTAATTGTCATTTATTTAATGCTCTTGAAGAAATATTTTCATGTGATATTGTAAGATGGTTGTTAATGGACAAATGGTAAACATTGATTTAAACAGTGGTCTTGATAGAAGTGGCCTGCTTCTACCAACATTTCTTCTTCTACTGCTTCGTGTTCTTATTGTTGGTCTTCTTCAATTCCATTCAAATGTATTTATATAAAACACATATTGTCAGAAAGCAGTTTTAATAAGTCCACGTCCAAACCCGTAATGTACAAGCTGAGGGTGACAGTAGCAGCAAAACTGTCTTAGGTCATGAGGAAGTACAACTGAAAGAAAACAAAACTCAAACGAGGACTTCATCTTGTTCTGAGCAACACCAGATAGTGGAGTTATAGTTCACTGAACAATCTAAGGTGCTTTCCTTTTGTCTCAAACATAGTTCCTTAGTATATGAATTTGCTTCTTTGAATTAGATAAGATTAACTTTGTTATCCCACCAGGGGTAATTTTACTTGGTCAACCCAAGATTGCACGTCATATAAGAACCACCAGACATACACATACATCAGACATACAACCTCACCCCCGATTAACAACATTAATAACTCTGATAACATACATTCTTTAGAGCTGCAAGGCTAATATAACAAAAGTCTGTGCCTCCTAAAAGGTCTTTGGGTGTCACAGAATGCCAATACATGTTAGCTATATTATCTTTGTAGCTTCTGTGCCAAACTACAGAAGCACACTTAAAACAACAAACAAAACTTTGGCCAGTTGACTCCGTTTGGTATAAGTGAAAAAAAAGTAAATTCGATTTTTCAGTATTAGATTTTTAGACAGACCAGTTTTTCACTTCTTAAAGACACAGCTTACTCTTCTTGATAATTCTTTTCATCTTTTAATGCTCTTTACTGATTTGAATCAACTTAATATTACTGACTGTTTTATCAGTTTATCAGATTTGCGGGGTACTCACCCTTGGACCTGGCTGTCCTTGAGGCCCATCTGGACCCCTCTCTCCTCTCTCACCCTAAAGACAGAGAGAAAGAAGGGGAGTGCAGTACATATTATTTGGGTAGTGATCTTTTGTCTGCTATTTACGGTGGTGTGTACATGGAAGCATACTCACTGGCCCACCTCTTGGTCCTACTGGTCCCACCTCTCCCTGTTCACCACGTTCTCCCTACAAACAATCAAGCAACACAGATTCAATCAGTTAGCAGGTGAGGAAACATCCACCGCTGAAGCCATTCTCAAGCCATTCTCCACTTTTCCAACAGATGAGCGCATTGTTTATCCATCTACAAGCTTCTAGTGGTAGACTGCACTCACTGTTTTTCCATTGTTCCCAATCGGTCCTGCCACACCTGGATCGCCAGATTTTCCCTACAGCAGACCACACAGACAGTCTTAATGTTATTACAGGGTAACACATCCCATCTGCTCCCATAAACACTTGTTATCGCTATTTACTAAGAAAAGCTTATTTATGAGTATCAAACTCAAGTATTAGTATCTCCAGTACAGTCAAATTACTCTTGATTACCTACCTTCGGTCCACTATGGCCCTTTGCCCCTGGAATACCTGGCAAACCCTAAAGGAAATAAAGATAATCACCACCACAGACATTCAAGTCATGGTATTTTTTTATTTGGAAAACAAACAAACATTTATCATTCTAAAGTGTGTGTAAATCTTTGTATATCTATTGTATGTCTCTTTTGAGAAGTCATACTTACTGGGAGGCCTTGAGGGCCGACATCGCCAGGGGAGCCCACTTTTCCAGTGATACCCTAAAACAGCAAAAGCCACAGACATAAGAAACACCTTTACGCGAAAGTGAAAAAAGAAACGTTTTTTGTTCATGTTTTCTGATTTTAGTCATCATTCTACAGTCAAATAACTGGAATCAAATTACATGTTTTATTGATTTTCTAAGTGACAATAAGTACACATTCCACAGAGAACACACTTATGCATATTTTACTTTACATTATTTGCTAAATAAATACAATCGCCTGTGCAAAAGTTATGGCTTTTTTCAGTATGTTACACTTAGCAAATAAATAGAAATTGTGCACTTTGAAGAAAAATAACATATTTACATTTGTCCCCTGTGGAGAAATGTTATGCAAATTTTTTGTCAGAAAACAAACAAACAAACAAAAAAAAAGTCATTTGACTCATTTCACTCAGGGTGTTCAAACATCTGTACATGACTGTATATATTAGTGTCATCAAATTACCTTAACCCCTGGCATTCCTGGGATGCCATCACGAGCATCCACTCCTGGTAAACCCTTTGGAAAAAACACAGGAATGAGCAGTCTACTTACTAGTATTCCAGCATATGGATATAATTCTATTTTATGATTAAAAATGAGCACTTACAGCTTCTCCTTTAGATCCAGGTAAGCCTATAATGCCTTGAAGTCCCCGAGGTCCCTTGGTAGATATACATCACATTGTGAAATAAGCCAAACAGACCAATTAACATTTTAAAAATGATCATATTCAGTATTACTAAAAAGAAGCAATTAGAAATAAAGGTAAAAAAAACTTTCACTGGTATTGTGACATCCTGCTCTGAAGGATCTTGCTAATAAAGAGTAATTACACTTCTAAAGCATCCTTAACATAGTGACAAAGGACACAGTTTACACAAAAGCACAAGGTATGTGTGTCAGACTGTAGAAAACAACATAAATTGAGGCTTTCATGTTTTGAAATGGTTGTATGTGGATCTCTGCACAACATCTTGCCATATTAAATGAGCTTTTTTATATGATGTTGTACTGTGCTTGTTTTTATTGGTACTCACTTGAGTTCCTTTTGGTCCAGTCTCGCCCACTTTTCCTCTTTGCCCTCGATCACCCTGACAAAGACAAATAACACTTAATAATAAAGCATTTATTCCAGTGAATTTGTAAAAATATTCCAAGTATATGGTGTTCAAACACATGGCAGAGGAATGACAGATTAATAAAAGACAGGTGCCCACAGCTGCTGTCCATCTAAGACAGTTGAAGAACACTACACTGTCCACTAGACACTTTAATGACAGTGAGTTTAAACTCTGCAGCTTTTAATTAACCCATTGACGCATATTTTGGGTCATGACAATGACAAACATCTAACAAAATATATTTTATTATTCAGTTCATGTTAAAAAATGTTTTGATAGTTTTACACTATCATAGTAGCTTACGGATCAATTTGTAGGGGATTGTATCATTGTGATACCACAATGCAAAACTTGCAAAACTGTGACAACGTGCAAGGTGGAGAATAGACACTCTAATAATGATTTGTGCCATCTAATGCAATTGCATTGCAAACACCAATATTTGCAATCAGCTCAAATCAAGAACTCACTCCATCAATCCTCCAGAATTTTAAGAATATAGAATCATGAACCCAATATAATAGATCAGATGTAATTATTGGCTGAGGGTATTGGTACATCCTTATCAATTTGCATTTGATATTAGTGCAAATGACCTGAGATGCACACAAATGGTTGACAAAATACATCTGCTTTTATGGGTTATTACCATATATTTCACTGTGTAGGGTCAAATAAAACATAAAGGTTGAAAGAGGTTATCATAGAGCCTTCACATAAACTATGATTCAGCCATTATAAGTTCTTGTCAAAAGTCAGAGTTCATTGTTACAGACCAGCGAACAATGTGATGCTGATTGTGACACTTACAGGGGCGCCTTCAATCCCTTGAGGACCCACGTTTCCATCTAACCCACGAGAACCCTGTTTAGGAAAGCAATTTCCAGACATTTATATCACATTAATGTATTGCTTTGTGTATTTCTTAATATGGTGACCTTTTGACCCTTACCCTATCACCTTTAGAACCCATAATGCCGGTTATTCCCCTCAGTCCCTGTGGACCCTAAAATTAAGCAGACATATTCACAGTGGGTGAATAAAGTACATTACAAATGAGATGTGTATCTGGATTGATGGAAGACAGCTGAAAGGGTTCAAAATAAAACATAAAATTCTCTATGAGGATTATTATAGGTTGGAATGCTGTAGCATTAAAATGTCCCTTTAGTGGAACTAAGGTGCCCAAGGTGGCCCAAACTATGAAAAATAGCCCCAGACTATTATTCCACCTCGACCAAACTAGCTGGCACTATGCATATATATTGGCCTCTGCCAAACCCAGATTCATCCGTTAGACTGCCAGGTGGTGAAATATGTTTAATCACTCCAGTTAATGCACTACTGCTCCAGAGTCTAGTGCAGGTGTGCTTTACACCACTCTCATGATACTTAGTATTACACATGATGATCTTAGGCTTGTATGCAGCTACTAAACTATGGAAACCTAATCTATAAAGCTCCCAAAGAACAGTTCTGCACATGTTGTTTCCAGATGCAGTTTTAGAATTTTTTACATGCTGCACGTTTCAGCACTCAGGGTGAGCTTGTGTAGCCTTTCATCTTAGATGTTTCCATTTAACGATAACAGAACTTACAGTTGACTGGGGTAATTCTAGCAGAAATCTGACAAACTGACTACACTGAAAAGTGTCATCCTATGACAATGCCTTGTTAAAAGTCACTATGCTCCTCAGTACGACCCATGTTTGTCTATATCTCATTTCTCATCTTATCTATAAAGGGCTGGGGTGGTGCAGTTTTTCATTCTCACCAAGCAAGAGCACACCTGACTTATGGACAATATGGGCAGCTACTGCTTGGTTGAAACAAAAACCTGCAGCTACACCCTGCCCTTTCAGGATAAGACTGAGCAACCCCGGTTTATACAGATTGCATGGATGTATGCCTAATTTATTACACTTGTTAACAACGTGTGCGGCTAAAACAGCTGAACCTGCTAATTAAGAGTGTCCACATAGATTTGTCTATGAAATGCATAAATGTAGATTTAGATACAGGAAAGATAATGGCTTTCCTAAAATATATATGCATGATAGAATACAGAAACACGTTACCGGTGGTCCTTGTGCTCCAGGATCTCCAGGGTCTCCCTGGTCTCCCTCTTCACCCTAAGAGAAAATTCCAATAACACATTTAACAAAATACCAGTAACAACACACCAACACACAGCCACTAGTTCCTCATGATCTCTATGAATTATCCCAGAGCTACTTTTCTCCTTCAAAATTAAGGCAATATACTACAAATACTACATACTGCATAGACCTGAATACAACCTGATTTAAATCATGGTGGTAGATGATAGTAATATGTCAAACCCGGGATGTGTTTGATTCCCACAATCAGAAATGCCATAAAAATATGTTTGGTATTTACCTTATGGCCTTGTCTTCCTGGTTCGCCAGATTCACCTTTGACACCTTTGTGGCCCTGCATAAAAAGGTGACATCAGAATCAAGGTCCTCTGAGGGTCACTAAAGCATCACTGTTTGGAAAACAAAAGGCTTAGCTTGGCTTTGGTTTTAAGACAGGGGAAGATTCATCTGTTGTAGCTGAACTCACCTTCATACCTGGTAGTCCACTATAGCCTGAAAGTCCACTTCTGCAGGCATTCGGACACTGACAAAGTAGAGCCAAGATCATGATCATGTCATTTCAAAGCATAAAAATTAATTGTAAATGGTAATTACAGTGTTCCAGTATTATTAGCTTGGGGGAAAGAACTGCCTTTTTGTAGATCAAATCTGTATTAAACACATTTACGCTAGAAGAGGATAATATAAGGGTAAGAAATCTTTATTTTAATGCCATCTCTACAGTGTATATCATTGCTTTAAAAAAAACAGCCATTTTTTAATTGTGCTTTTCTACATAATTTGAGAAGCTGCCCTTTACATTGTGTGAAACTTGATGATGACTGGACCAATAGAAATGCTCCAAAATGGCTTGGAATAAAATATCTTTACATTATCTTACACTAAAAGTAAGGATGTTTTTGTCCTCTCCTGTAAAGTTACCATTTTGGAGACACTTGTTTCTCTTACATCTCCATTTAATTTCATTTAAGATGCTGTGTATTAATAATAAAATGTAACAATAGGAAAACATAACAATTTCTTACCAATTCCTCACCATTCCAAACCCCAGGGGGACCCTAAAAAGTGTTTAAAATATAAACAAACATTTTAACAAGGTTTAACATTCAAGTCACAATCAACAGAGTTTGGTAGTAGCTAGTTACTTTTACTCAGTTACATATATTCAGTTAACAATTTAATGGATTTGTACATGGATAATATTTTTGCTTCATCAGTGTCAGGCACTGATGTTTGGTGATAAGGCCAGGCTTGTGGTCAGCAATTCATCCTATAGGTGCTGAATGAGACTGAGGTCAGGGGTCTGTGCAGGTCAGTCCATTATTCCACACCAAACTCAAAAAAAGAATTTCTTTGTGTGCACAGCTTTGTGCAAAGAGACACTGTTACAGACATTGTTATCCTGAAATGGGGGTCTTCCCCAAAAGTGCTGCCACAAACTTGGAAGCACATGGTTCTCTAGAATGTGACTGCATGCTGTAGCATTAAGATTTCCGTTTGCTGACTGTTATCCCACCTCCACCAAACTTTACAGTTGGCACAATATATTCAGATGGTGTTTTCCTTGCCAAAACCAGGTTCATCTTCCAGAATGGCAGATGGTGAAGTGTGATTCATCACTCTGGAGAATGCATTTCCACTGCTTCAGTGTTCAGTGGCAGTGTTCTTTATGCCACTCCAGTCAGTGGTTGGCATTGCACACAGTGACCTTGTGTACGGCTCGTCAGCCGTGGAAACTGAATGAAGCTTCCAAGGAACAGTTCTTGTGGTGACATTGTACTTAAGTAAAGAAATACTTTTAAGTCAGTTACTAATTCCATTTTCTGGTTAAGGCCCTTTTATTTGAGTCATTATTTCACAGAAGTTACAATCCTTTTATTTAAATATAATTCAATTATATGAATAACTCATATAATTAAAGTAAAAAACTAAAGAGATAAATGTGTATAGCCTGACCTGGGATATTGCTGTAGTGTGAAACATATAAGAAAATGTATCGAGCAGTACTTACTCTTGGCCCAGCTAGTCCTGGAAGACCCACTGGCCCTCTCAGCCCACGGCTTCCCTATTGTACATCACAAATATTATTTCAAAGTCATTGTTTATTTGGTTAGTTTAACACTGGAACTAGATAGTGGTCTACGTACTGGAGGTCCTGCTTTGCCTAATTCTCCTGGCAGTCCATCCTCTCCATCCGCACCCTTCCAAGAAAACCAGTAAATGAACATGATAATGCACATAAATAAGAAAAAAGTAAGTTTAACAACATAGGACTTTAATATTGATTCAAACATGATGTTTCACTGATTTCTTGCTTTTCTTCATTTTTTGTTGTTCTTCTTGGAGATTTTAGAAAAGACTGGGTTATGAAAGTCAGACTTTTTTTTTAGGTATCTGCAAGTTAGACACACCATTAAATTAAATAGCTTTAACTAAACATCACGATTCAAGAGGTTTAATTTCAAAGATGTATGTATATATTTTTGCTTACTGACTTTTTTGATACATAATAATCCTTTATATTTTTTGACTGTTTTTTCTTCTTCTCAGGTAGCCCTGAATCTTTCTTCTATATGTTTGTATTACGTTTGAAACTAAATGTATTTGTAAATGTGACTTCAACTGTAAAATGGAAAGTGTGACAAAGACGTGTAGAACATGATGACCACAATAGGCAAATCATTTCAGCAGAATTATTATCAGTAGAATAAATTACTGTGAAGACAACAAACTTACAGCTTCTCCATCCTCTCCAACACCCTGTAAATAGAGAATATATGTGGATCATTGCACTGAATTGGTTCAAAGTGTTTTCAACTGACTTGGACTTCAGACTAAAATTCTTTTGCTTTGAGTGACCCTATGCCTAAATCATGTTTATTTTATTAAAGTAAATGATTGAACATTCCATTTTGTCATTACCAAAACAATCATAACACATACACATAACATCAAAACTTTACCAAATGTTTTGGTAGTGACAATTTTAACTAATTTTGAGTATAACTGTATACACATTGAACACAAATAAAATCATAAGATTTTTCATTAATCACAAAATCATTTACTTAATTGCAGAAAATGTGTGTTTTAGTAGGGACAATTCTTAATGTTACACACTGATTTTCAGACTTTGGGACACATTTACTTCAAAACCATGGGATCTAACTGCTCAACACGTGGCCGTGAGGGATAGGGATGCAGTCTCACCTCCTGCTCTAAAATGCAGGGGTGTGGCTAAAATAAGGCTCCGCCTATGGACTAAAATTGTTTGTGTTTCGGTAGTGGCATGAAAAACGAGCATTTCTTTAACAAAGTTTTTTATTTAAAAATTAAACTCATGATAAATCGAAATCATTCACCTTCACTTCAAAATTCAAAATGGTCTTTTAATAAAATAAATTTAAGTATTACAAACATTTAGGTATTATGAATTATGATTTTGTATATATTTAACTCATTACTTTCTCAATTAATGCTCCAAGATTAAATACATCATAACATAATCCTTGTAAATATCTAAGATCTAAATACTGAATTGTTTATTTATTTATTTTTTACTGTGGGACCTCTGTTTGAACTTATTTGATAGAATTGTCCTCCATATACAGGCAAACCTCAAATGCAATGCAGTGTGATGACATAAGTAAAGTCAGGGAAATATGAAATCACTCAAGCATAAAAGTAATTATTACTGCATTAATGCTTAATGTTAATTAATTAGAACAGATGATTAATGAATGAATTATTATATTAAATTCGATAAACACAGAAAAATTGAGTGATTTGGCCATTTTATTGGCATTACCATGCAATTAATTATGGTAAAATATATAATTGAAATATATTTGTTTGATATGTTCAAATTCAAATGTCATTTTAATTGTTCAGTTTTGTTGTATTTTTTAGCTACTTTCATTAAGAATAAATAAAAATTCCAAGTCACGAATCAGCTGCTCGTAGGCCAAAAATGGCCGATCCACTAGTACACTAGATATCCTAAAACAGCTCAAAATAAGCACCACAAAACCTAAAAGAGTAATGCATGTCAGCAGGGGGGAACTAACCTTATATGAAATATACAATGTTTCAGGACACCTTACATTCTTACACATTTATAACATTGATTAGAATCATTTATAGCCAAAATTAGGAACTGTTGCAGATCAGCTTCTAGTAGCAAAGACTTAAAAATAATAATAACACCTGATGTAACTGGCAGTAACTTTAACTTGTTTTAATATAAATTTAACATATGTGTATTTAGATAACATCTTCTGTATTGTGTTCAAATTCTGTTTACTTACAGGTCTTCCTCTAGGCCCAGGTGCACCAGGTTCACCCTAACAATATCCATCAAATACAAGACAGCTCAAATCAAATCACTGTGCATAAAAATTTTATACAAACTGATAACATAAAGATCAATGACCATTTCTTTGTAGCTATGTAACTTACATAAGCAAAATGTCTAGCACAAATATAGCCAGAAAATAATGAAAGCTGGCTGTGTTTAATTGTGTCCTATTGAGAAAATGTGACTATGATTAGTTGCTGAAGACTTACTTTTGGCCCAATAGGACCAACTGGACCATGATCTCCAATAGGTCCAGTCAAACCCTGAGGAAATAAAAAAAAACCAGTTATAATGTATAAATAAATGCTTTAAGCTGCTTTATTAAGATAAAAGATGTCTCACCACTGAAAACTGTTAAGTGCCCAAAAGTGGCTATTTTCCTCACAGAACTTGAAATGTTGTTGCGATTCAAATGGTTAACTGGAATGGTAATCCCTGATATAATATTTAATATTGTTTAAAAGTGAAAGGTGGTGCCCATTCTGTGAACGCTGGTGAAAAAAGTCTAACAAGTATCTCCAGTTCACCTGTAACAGACTCCACCCACTTCTAGACATGTATATAGAGAGGTGCATGCTGCATTCAGCCATTGAACAACCAATGCAGACCAGCAAGATTTGTCCACAGAAGACTTCTGCAGATATTTATTACTGAATATTTTTACATTGGCTTTATCACTAAGAGCCATCTAAACAACAGTTATTATCCTTTCAATAATAAACTGCATTGTTGCTATTGTAGCACATATATCAAGATACATCTAGAAGAGAGATTAAAATTTGATACTTAATCCAAAATCCCTCTTTAGTACTAAGCACCACGGCTCAGGCCTCAGGTTGACTGCATACAGGGGCCGTTTTGTTAGCATGAGGCACCAGCAGCAGTGCCAGTCCAGACCTTCAGGCTTTCCTCCACAAACACAAAAAGGCCTCTGTCTGTCTGAAGTCTGTATGGGGCACTCTTTCCTCTCTCGCTCTAAATGGCCAAATTGATGTACGACATATTTTTTTTTACTTTTTTCCTCTTCGGCCAGTTCCTTAGAGATGAAAAGCTGATTTTAACAATTTTCAACTGATGCTCAAAGAATGCAAAGAGAACACAAATGAGACATACATCTGCTCCTGGGCTTCCTGGTAGTCCATTAGCCCCGTTTTTCCCATCATCTCCATCCGGGCCCTACAATAATATTGCAAATCAGTGCAGTGTGAGAAACTATGATATTTTCATGCCAGTTTAAGACATACATATGACTTGATGACAGATTACTTACTGGAGGGCCATCTGGTCCAGGCCCTGGACCCCTTTCTCCCTAATATAAAATAATGGATTAAAATTATTTAAAAACCAAATACACACACAAAAACAAACTAGACTTTGTTTAGAGGCAGTTCTCATGTGCATGATGAACACAATACATAGTGTTTTTCTTTCTGAGCAAAAAGTAATGAGGATAAAGGTAAAGGCATTGAAGAAAATGTGTAAAATATGGCTTACATCGATGCCATCGACACCAGGAAAGCCAACAAGTCCTGGAGGGCCAGGTGGCCCTCTCGGACCAGGCGGGCCCCTCTAAAACGCACACACACACGCACACACACACAGAAATAATTTAAGCCACCTGTGGTAAATTGTTTCATAATATTCCAATGGTTTAGTCTACTGAGCTTTCCAACAATGCACTTATTGAAGGTTATCCGAGCCTTGGTCAAGGCAGAAGCATCAAGCTCTACAAAGCTTACTTTTGATTCATTGAAACTAACAGCAGATGTACACACCTTGACTGCTTTGCTGGAAATACGTTCCAGATGTCAGCTAGTGTGCAGATATCAGGCAAATCAACTAAAAAGTGGTGCTAGATATAAAATACACAACTACAGATATGAAATAATTATACATATTTACATATAAAATTACATGTACATAAAAAATATTAAAGCTCTATATTGTCCACATCAAGTTAAAGAAGAAAACACAGGAGATTCCAAACAAGCTAAAATGCCTAAGTATTCACATCCTTCACAACGTCTTAAGGCAACTGAACAATAGCTTGTGCTGAGCTGTGTGTGAGTGGGCAGCCTTGTCTGTAACTCACCTGAGCGGAGCAGATAAGGACTATTTGCAGTAAAACCACCAGCAGGGACGCCCGGAAAGTCCTGGCGTTCAGCATGGTCTCCCCGGTGTCCTGGAGAATGCAAAAGTCCTTTTTTATTAGTTGGGGTTCACGGTTTTTCTGTCAATATTCCCCAACTGAACCGCCACACCGTCTACTGAGATGCTCGATGTACTATTAAAAACTCATGTTTATTCATGTCGTGGCTGTAATGTGATTGGTGAAGCGGTGGAGCGTCTGCGTAGGGTGGGCGTGGTCTGGAGTTTTATCCTACTACCTGTGGAAATACGACCAAGGAAAAAGTGAATTTTAAGTATAATAACAGTAACTATTATAGATGAGCCTACCAGCATATCTAGCTATATTCATCATGACATTAGGTTAAAACACAATATTGAATCCCAAGATTGAAACAGGCTGAAATATCATCAGCTGTGTGCTTAAAGGGGAATTCCACCGATTTTTCTAAATTTCTGCATGATTCTGTCATTAAGATGTAAACAAAGTCATTCAGGGTGGTCTGATGTGAAACTGTGCACTGTAGAGAAACTTACTGACTCAGATTTCTTTATAGCGGCGGAGAACCAGGGGTCTGGCTGTCTACAACACAAATATAACCATTTTATTTACTATCCAAAATGACCAGCGGACCTGCATGCGTCTTCTGTGTCTTTTCATGTGCAATGTTCATAATAGTGATATAGCAGTAAAACTGAAAAAACATAAATTTGCTTTGGGTACTGTTTTGCCGTACAACGCCCTGCACCGTATCTCTCCGCCATGAACGGATTTTAAAAAATGTACTGTTTAGGCCAAAAGCTTTGTCGTACAACTAGCGTAAAACAACGTCTGGGGCATCGTGCAGCGTATTCTAAGCTTTTCGTGTAATGACTTTCTGTGAGGTAGCTTTAAATGCTTCAGTCATCTGGTTCCCATTACCACCACTGTGAGCAACTGTGATTCGGTAAGTTTTTCTACAACCGAGCGTTGTATATCAATCTGGTCTGGCTTACTTTGTTTACATCATAACAGTTTAATTAAGCAGATATTTTGAAAAATCGGTGGCATTCCCCTTTAAGTTTACGCAGACTGGCCTATATGCTTAATTTGAAGATGATTTAAACGATAACGTGTAAATGGCCGATTATCAAAAACTCTCGTAAGTTTATTTTGTATATTTGTGTCAAAACGGTAAGTGTACCTGTGATGTTTAATGTTTCTCCTGAACAGTAGGAGGCGCTACAGAACGAGCTCCGAGTCTGTGTTATGCAGTAGCAGTGAGGGCGTCATTTTCAAAGATTTGTAACCGCCTGTTGTTGTCTTGGTGCTGGAGAAACGTCTCGTCAGCGGAGGTAATAAAATAGAAGTAGGTGTTCTTGTGCACTTTAAATGTAAAGAAATAAAGGCTGGTCGTACATCATTAGTTAGTTAAAAACTAACAACTCTGTCTTTTTCACTCCAAGGTTCCAACAAGAAGTTTAACTTTTGTGTTTAGCTTAGCTGCTCGCTGCTTTTCTTTAAAAGCCATATAGCGTTAGCTGCCTGGCTAGCTAGCTAACGAGAATAAGTCAACAAACCGTCACTTGCTGTTGAACTACCTCGGTGATTAAATACATGTCAATTTTCAGTTAACATGGGACTGAAACCTTGCTGAGAGAGGGTCTGCTAATGTCTGTATTTTTTACTGCAGCTTAGCTAACCTAGCTACAATAGATGCGTCTTTTGATGGTATGGCTAAGCTACTTATAGTATGCATAATCATTAATAGGCTGCTTATGTAATCTAAGAAGTATTGTTTCCTTACCTCATGTCTTTTATAGGCAACGACAATGGAGAACCTTGACTTTTCAGAGGAAGAAATAGAGCAGCAGTTAGCTGCGCTTGGGTACACAAACATAACCAAAGAAAGACTGCGTGAATTTAAACGAGGTGGGTTATTCAACGATTAGTTTAATGAGTTAGTCAGGTGATTTCTCAAACTCCATGTTGACATTACTATAACTATTAAAACTTCTCCAAACATTTATAGACCTTGACTTGCTGATCTCTCATGAAAAATCAAAGAGCCAGACTTCAGCTGAATGGAGTTCTCCCAAATCTCAGAGCAGTGCAAGCAAGAGTCCACCTGTGATCACTAAAGAGAAGGGTATGTGGTTGCTTGATTAAAAGAGCATGTTTTCTTTTCTGTTATGTGGCCTAATAACGAATATGTAGAGTGATATTTGTATAATTTAATGTTAATGTATTATAACATGTATTGTATTGTAATTTGTCTCTGATTTAGTCCAGGTACATGGTGTTGGTTCCAGTTACTGCTACATGTACTCTCACAGTGGTGCTGCAGATCAGCAGAGGCCGGTATGAGCGCTACACTTTATTACTACAGTAATGCACAGCTCATACAGTAAATATCCTGTATCTGAATGTCACATCACAGCCCAGCTGAAACATGTATAGTTATGTTAAACATTTATTTTTCTACTGTGAAGGTTTTGACCTCAACTTTTCATGAAGACAGCCATGAGAATGTCATGAATCCAGGGCCCTATGACTCTTACATAAAGCACTCAATGGCTCCCAGATACATCAGACCTTCTACAGCTCCAAACAGACTTGAAGTGGAGGAAGCACCTTCTGAAATTTACTATTCAGTGCTGGATTCCAGTCGAACTGTCAGCCCTGACAGAGACCCTGATACAAATGCAAAGCCAGCTATGAAAAGAAAAGTACTTAGGTAAGATTTTCCTTCTGTTAAGTGAAAATTCAGAGAGTAAATATTCATCTAAATGAATCTGAATTGAGCAAGTGTTATGATCTGTCACAGTACTGTATATTGGTTTCTATGGTGGCCGTAGAGTTCAGACTGATGTTTCCTCAGATTTACAGAGCGGTGCAGAAGTCAGAAACCAACCTTAAGGTATTTCATTTAAAGCCAAAAACAGCCATTTAGTAAATGTTATTTATTTTCCAGGATTTATAATTATGAGGAGATTTGGTATAAGGATAGTTCTCATGTATAAGGAAGGGGGAAAGTCAAAGGAAAGTGAAAAAGAGCATTTTCCAAAATGATAGTTCAAAAAAATAATAAAAAGATGGGACTGCGAACAACTATGCAAGTCTTGGTAAACCACCAGAACTGTCACCATCAATTAAAGAGAACTTAAAACATTCAGCTTTGAGAGACAGGTGAAAATCAAGCTCAGGTATGAAAATGTTTTTATGACATGATGTTTTTATTCATCTTTTCACTGTGAGAAGACAACTCAAGGGTCTAAAAAGGTTGTGTAGTTGTCAATAAACCATTACTGAGAAAAGAAATGGATCAAAACTAAAGGAAAGTTGCAAATCAAACAAATAAGCTGCTGTTCTCAGAACAATAAAATGGCCACCCCAGAACCCAGACCTCAACATCACTAAATATGAGTTGTGGAAAAATGTACCCACAGATTTCTGTGAAAATCTGATTAAATTAATGTAAGTGTAAGTGGTGTCTGTCTTTCATGCAGTACTGTAAGTTTAAAACCATTTAACTGAACATAAAATCTTTTTTTCCCCATCAGGAAGCATAGGGGCCAGTCTCAAGTTTGCGATGAGTCTACATACAGTGAAGACTCTGGTAAGTTTAACAATATCTGGACCAGGAGTATTCAGTTCTCCTCCTGGAGGGCTAGTGTCCAGCACACTTTAGTAATATTACTGGTCAAACACTCATATTAAACCTGGCAATTAACAGATGTGCAGGGAAATCAGCAGCCCATGCTCAACACCGGCCCTTCACAGCTGGAACTGAATACTCCTGATCTAGACCTACTAATGATAGTTTTGGATGTCATAAACATGTCCTGCCACTATGTGTCACTCTAGCCCTTTTGAGCAGATCTGCAGTGTCAGTAGTAATCTTCTTACAGTAACTCCACCTCCCTCTCAGCCATCTGCTGAGGCTTGGTCTATAGGCTAATTTTCCCTTTGGATTTGATCAAAGAAGGAACGAATCATACTGCAACATGTATAAAACATGCGGCAGTTACTGGGACAATGCAAGCGAAGAGGACAAAGAATCTCTCTCCTCCTCCTTCTGGACTGATCAGGAAAGTGAAGAACAGAGAGAATGTTTTGTAAAGGATGGCAGCAGAGGTAAAAGAATTGAGAAGGAGTCTGAAAACGACAAGCAGGTGAATAAGGATGGGAAGGAATGGTATGAGAAAGTGGATGGTGTGAATGATGGGACTGGAGGAAAGCTGGAAGAGCATGACCATTGCATAAAAGAGGATAAGCAAGTTTGTATGAAAGAACACAGTAAGGATGAAGGTACAGAAAAAAGACCAAGAGGTGTACAAGAGAGTGAGAAAGAGTGTTTCTCATATGAAGACGGTGAGAATGATAGCGCTGGAATAAACTCAGGAAAAGAGAGTGAAGATGAAGAGGAGAGAGGTACTACAGATAAAAGCAGCGAGTCAAAAACTGAAAGTGGTGATTCAAGAAGAGAAGAAGAGGAGAGTGAAGATGATGTTAAAGAAGACAGTGAATCTTCAGAATCTGAATATGAACAGAAGAATGAGGAAAAAGAGGACAAAAGCTTATACAAACTAGGGGGAAAAGAGAATAAGCTTGAAAGCTACAGTGTGGAGAAAGAAATAGCATTTGATAGTGAGAAAGTGATTGATGGGGAAAGGCTCATGACTGGAAGTGAAGATCTTTCAAGTGAGGAAGAGAAAGATGAGGAAGAAAGTGATATTAACGAATATGACAAAGATGAAGGGACTGAGAAAAGGTTTGAAAATGAGAGTGAACAAAGGGAATGTGTTATGAGCAAAGACAGTGTGGACAGAAAAGTGGAGAAGGAGCCTGAAAGTGATGTTCTGGAGAGTGAAGAAGTAGAAGTTTTTGTGAGTGTAGTTAGTAACGATTTAAAGACCTGTAAGAGACTGATGAGAAGAGCAGTAAGCGAGGAGGAAGGAAGTCAAATTTTTGTGAACGAAGACAGCAAAGACAAAGTGGTACTGAAAGAGGGAAGCATGGGTGAAGGACCTGAAAGAAAGTCTGAAAGGCAAATAATAGACAGTGATGAGGAGGAAGAAGGGCACTTTCTAAACAAATATTACTCTTGCAGTAGTACTAAAGAGAAATGGCTTGAAGAACCGAAATATGAGGAACACGGTAAAGAGGAACAAGACCAA